TTTTTTTAGAATTCCACACGAAGGCAACATTCCAGCAGATGACGCAGGTGGGAAGACAGACACTCCATGCAGATGGTGGCCAAAAATTATATAAGTAGGACATTATTTTCTACCTTAAAAATGTATTTTAAATAACGTCCGCACGCGCAGACTGTGCGACCACATATGGCGTCATTCGTACCGTTGCCTTTATTTTTGCGACGACATACGTTGTCTTTAGTCGTTTAAAGGTTAATATGGTTAAAAATCTAAATGTGTAATGTGGAACTGATATTTTCATTTTCCACTCTTGGTGTGTATAGCGTTCTATATGCTTATGTGTGGTATGTCGTGTGTATGCTCATTGAATGTTATAGTGGTATACAAGGTGTGAGATGTTGAAATGATAGCCTATAATCAAGTAACTTAATTACATACTGTGGGCTATGGGCTAAGGGCAGGTTAGCTGCGGTTTGATTCTCAGCAGGAGCAAGAGATTTTTCTCAGCTACACAGCAGCCAGCCCAGCTCTGAGGCCCACCCAGCCTCCTGTCCAATAGGAACCTGGAGTTTTTTCCCCAGGACTGAAGTGGCTGAAGCATAAAGCTGACCAGTCATGTCAATCTAGTGCCGAGGCCAAAAATGGTGGAACTGTACCTCCATTCCCCCATATTTCTTCATGTCATGGTGTTCAATTAGGCACAGCAACAACTTTATCATTATTTATCACACATTTCATAATTATAGCTGTTTAATAACTGAAAATTAGACTTTGCCAGTAAATTCTGGGGTCTCAATGATGTGTTGATATCCATCCTCTTAACTTAAAGGAATATTCACCTGGGTGACATGGAAACCAGTGGAATAATTGATGATTTATTACATCTAGCAAGAAAGTTATCTGATCTTGCTTACATCCATTCTTTACAGAGACACTAAATGGAGTCTCTGTCCTGAATCAATTGCCTACATTGGCCCATATTGTTTATTGCAGCTACCAGGTTGTGGTCATATCATCACAAACTTGTGCTTCCATAGCATAACATTTTCTTTGATTCATTCCCATAAGAAAAAGGCAAATGAGTTCAGAACAGAATAAAACAATGAGGCCAGATACTGGTGTGAAAGAAAGGTTAGGGACACCATAGTGGTGACATTACATGCCCTCATGGACATTAAGTGGCACATCCTTTACCAAATGGGTTGATGTAGCACTAATACTCTTGACTCACATTCAGGAGGTGCTCATTTCGAACCTCAGCCAGGACACAAGTTATCCTGAATAATGTTTGTCATGGTTTTCCTCAGTCCTTCCAGACAAATGCCAGGTTATACCTTGATTGGCTGTGACTGCTTCTTTCCAAAGCCTTTCTAGTTTATCAGTCATCCTAATATTCGGTATTATGTAGCCAGAATACTGATAGCATTGTAAAAGAACCCACAGAAGGGGGGGGAGTGTTCTTTTAGAGAAATTAGCATACTTGTTTCTAATGGAATGATTTGCTATCTCATATGGTTCATTTAGGTAATAGTCAATGATTCCAGCCCAAACATTAACATCATTGTTGAAATGCAGATCATTGAGTAGGATGAGGATTCAGTGCACATTCGACTAAGGTGTAGAGACTGTTAATTCCACTCCTTTGAATGTTGCCTCGTTAGTACACAATACACAGCACTATAAGTGTAGTTAATACACAGTTTTGTGTAGCAGCTATTGATGTAAGTGGAAAAGAAAATTATTATCCCCTGCTTGTAGCCCTAGTACAAGTTGTGCATGAAAAGGATACAACTGCCTCTTAGGCAGTGTACACCAAACTGGCCTCTCAGAGTGGTCTTGTATGCGACTTGGTGAATGCGATACCCATTAGTACCTTTTTATTGCATGCATTGTGTCTTCCACAGCCAGTGTGTACTGGTGGCATGAATGCACCTGTTTCCCTGAGACTGTGCTGTGCCACTGCAAATATGCATCTGTTGGGTTGCCTCCAAACTGGATACTGACATTGCAGCTCTAACATTTCCATCACAAAATTCGTACACAAAATGCATACTGGCATAATCTGCATTAGTAAATTATGCCATCTTGTTCTGTATCATTTTGTCATCAAACATAATGTGAGTCTGAAGTGAATCCAGTATAGTCTCTGTGCTCTGATATTGTGAAGGCTCCACTGTATGCACAGAAAGTCCAGTATAGTCTCTGTGCTCTGATATTGTGAGGGCTCCACTGTAGGAACAGAAAGTCCAGTATAGTCTCTGTGCTCTGATATTGTGAAGGCTGCAATGTATGCACAGAAAGTCCACTATAGTCTGTGCTCTGATATTGTGAAGGCTCCACTGTATGAACAGAAAGTCCAGTATAGTCTCTGTGCTCTGATATTGTGAAGGCTCCAATGTATGCACAGAAAGTCCAGTATAGTCTCTGTGCTCTGATATTGCGAAGGCTCCACTGTATGCACAGAAAGTCAAGACTATAAGTGCGAAATGCTGTAAATCTGAAACACTGGCAAAATGGACAACTGTTTGTTTATGCTTGCTGTAAGAGATTCTCTCCTCAAGAACCTCATAAAGTTTGGCCATAGGAATTTGAATGACACTCAGAGATACTGGGTTTTCGGACTTGTCCATCATCCGGATTCTAAATAACTGAGAAAAAACACAACATTTCAGAAACTGGATCTGTTTCCATCCTCAGGTGAGAGAAGACACCTACTCTGTTGAGTCACTCTGGGCCTGTGATTGAGGCTAGCTCTTTCTAAGGGATGCAACAGAGTAGGTGTCTTCCCTCACCTGAGGACGGAAACAGATCCGGTTTCCGAAACGCTGTGTTTTTTCTTAGTTATTTAACTAGTGAAATGCTACATTTGGACCATAGCTCTGTATGGGGCTGAAACTTGGACACTTAGGGCAGTAGATCAGAAACATCTGGAAAGTCTCAAAATGTGGTGTTGGAGAAGGATGGAGAAGATCAGTTGGACCGATTATGTGAGAAATGAAGAAGTGTTAATTAGAGTCAGTGAGCAGAGGAACATCGTACACGAAATAAGAAAACGGAAGGCTAATTGGATTGGTCATGTTTTACGCAGAAAATACCTTCTAAAAGAAGTTATTGAAGGAAAGATAGAGGGGCGGATAGAAGTGACAAGAAGACGAGGAAGAAGGCGTAAGAAGATGCTGGATGACCTTGCGGACAGAAGAGGATACTGTCATTTGAAGGAGAAAGGTATAGATCGCATAAAGTGGAGGAATTGTTTTGGAAGAGACTGTGGACCTGTCTTCTGACAGATTACTGACGATGATGATGATGATGATGATGATGATGATTTAGAATCCAGACAATGGACAAAGTGCGAAAACCCAGTATCTCTGTGTGTTATACACCATCATCAGAACCCTATAGTATCAACTTGAATGACACTTTTTGTGTGTGCGTGTGCTTGCATAAGATAATTTTAACTTACTAATGCATAGTCAAAAGTTATTAGCCTGAGAAAATATGAAATATCTGCAAAATCAATAATGCTGCAAGTAGCATTGGCCCACCCAGCCTCCTATCCAGTGGGTACCAAGGGCCCTTTCCTGTGGGTAAAGTTGCCAGGTTGTGACGCTATATCTCCACTGGGGTGCACTGGATCCACATGTGCTGCATCATAGTAGTATGTTAAATGTTAAATGTGTGCATGTGGCTTGACGAACACTGAGCTAGGCTGAAATCTACAGCTTAAGGAGGACATGGATTAAGATGGAAAAATGGAAATGTCAGAGACGAGTATTGGTGGTTTTCTTGTAGTAAATTCTACTGATATTTGTGCAATGCTAAATGCTAGTATGTTTTATCATAGAAGTCCAGTTTTGTACATCCTGTAACAGATTAATCAGACTTTATTAGAAATCAGTGTAGAAACTGAACTGGATCATTGTTGTGTAAGATCTGAAGTAGTGGCTATCAGGCTTGCACTGGTATGCCAATGATGCTTTACTGATACTTGTAAACAGACAGCCAAGCCCATGAAATATAGTTTCCTAAGAAGGAACATTATTGACATACTTAGAATTCCAATTACTCAGTGTTAGACCACACAAAAAAAAAACTTTGACTCTTTTGGATAAAGATGTGAAAGATTTAGCAGTTGCCAGTTAACATGGATTAGGATGTGGTTACTTTCATATTTCAGAGACCAGTTTAATCTCTTAGAACACAAATGTGTACATACATAAGAAAACCAAGCCATGTGAATTGGATTCAGTCTTGCACATGGAGACTTCAGTTGTATCAGTACATTTACTGTGAATAGCAAATAGTTAATTCCTATATAATGCAGGTTCATTAACACTCTGTAGCCAGTATCATTTAAATACCCTTTTGTTCTGTGCTACAGAGTTGAAAGAGCACAGAAAAAATTATAATTTTATCTGTTCTGGTATATAGGTTGTGAAATGTTCACACGTGGGGAAGATGTTGCACTGATATGCAAAATAAAAAAATAAAGGTTCTCATGTTCAAATATAAAATCATATCAGTAATGTAAATGTTACAAAATAATCTCTGGCTGTATATTATTCAGGCGTGTGGCAAACCGTTCATAGAACAGCACGTGAGCCATCCTTGATCCTAGATTAGTGTTTCAGCATGAGAACAGTTTGAAGGTGGTGGGGTAGTTGACAGAGAGGGAATATACAAACTGCATTGTATTAGTGAATGCAGTGCCTGACTGTACATGGCACTACTTCACAGTGCTATTATGCAGAGATCTCTGTTATTGAACCCTACAACTACAAGCTTTGGGGCTGTTGAAGAGTGACACTTCTATCTTGATATTGCAGGTAGTGTTTTTACTGTTGATTTTTTTAAGTTACAATGGTATAAGTACACCATCAGTTTTCTGGCCAGGTAAGCAGTGTGATGCATATACTAAGCTGGATTTAAAGAGTTAACTGCTGTATAGTAATATAAATATGTGAGGTGATTGGTCTGTCAGAGGCACCATAAATGATCTTTTATGTTTGCTTCACTTGTAGCAAATGGAGAGGTTCAAGGTTGTGGAACGGGAAACAAAGACCAAAGCATACTCCAAAGAGGGCCTGGGTGCTGCACAGAAGCTGGACCCTGCACAGAAGGAACGAGATGAAACTGCAGGATGGCTTGCAACTTCCATTGATGCCCTCAACCTCCAGGTGAACTGGCACTATGCTGTATATTTGCTGTAAACAGATATTATTCTGAAGTCAGGGTGCTGTTGCTGCTTGCTAGAGATGGAACATGAAAATCATCATATCTTAAAAATTTGTTGATGAACATACAAGAAATAGCAAAAGGTTAAATATTTAAGGAAACATGTAGGGTGTTTCACGCTACAAATAACTTCATGCTGTTTTGGATGTAGCAAATTTATTGCACATTCGCTCTTACAATAACACAATTCACAATTGCAATTACTGCCATCAGCAGTATTACAATTACTTCTCCTGCTGGAGTCACTACCGTTCACTCGATACAACCTGACTTGGCGACTGCTAGATTGAAACTGACTGGTTACTCTCTCTCTAGGAACTGGCTCACTACTCACTCACTCGTAACTGGCTCAGTCCTCACTACTCCTGAATAGAGTTCGCTGCTCCTTATTTAGGCCCGGCATGGACAACACAGAAAACGGTTATGTGATAGGTACCACTGTTGCGTAATGTCGTGTTTACCGATTGCCTAGCAACAGTTGTTGCACGGGCTCCCTGTTGCATGATTCCATGTTTACAAGCGTTGCAGGGGAACCCTGTTGGGAGTTGTTTATTGCTGCATAGCAACCAGCGCGCTTTGGCTTGGCTCAGCTCGGCTCACTTCAGCTCTACTTGGCACAGCACTGAGAAACACCACTTTCCTTACTGTTGCATAACTTGGCAACTGACTGTTTATCAAGGGTCTGTCTTCGTGGTAACTCATTCCACCTCCTTTTGCCCAGCAACGATTAGGCATGTCACAATAGTAATTGAATTGTACAAATGTACCAAATGATTTACAGTCTAATGTGCAGCACATTTTTCTAGAAAACTTACCAAAGTATTCATTTTAAAAGCTTTACACATGATACGGATTTTAACTTATTAAAAGTTATTCACTATGTGTTTTAAAATTATAAATTGTAAATGATGAAACTGCTGTGCTTCCATATCATGGTTTTTGATAGTTACTATGCAGTCCCTTCTATGTGCTGTGCCACTTCTTGCTGATATCTAGCACTTCTTACGTCCAAGATAGGAGTGGCCCATCGTCAGGGGCTCTCATGTCATGTTCACAATGCTCCCTAGATGTAGTAGGGACTCCAAGCCACAGCAGGGAGACACTTCCAATCGACAAGACTAGTTCACAATCATAAATTAATTTAATAAGAGAAACACAATAAAACAGAATACAACAATTAGAAGTTAATAGAAGCCGTGGGCCCCAAAAGATACAACCTGTGACCACATCTGCCAGTTACTTTACTCTTGCCTTAACTGCGGCATCAGACTACACTTAATAGCCCACTCTCACTGCTTATTACTCTTGTTTACCATCATGCTACTTCAGCAGGCACAAAATAAACGTTAACAAATATTCCTTGCCCACAGGCGATTCCTAGGAAAGAAAACACAATGACGTAATGTTAAATTAAAGCCCATCACTCTGCCACACAATAACCTATAATACAAGCAAAACCCCCGACGTGCGTTGCCAGCACAACCCCCCAGACATAATTTAGAATACCTTCCAAAACCGAATTTGAAAAATATCCCAGGCTGGCCGCGTACATCCGATACGCTGTGGATCCAAACAGCAAATGAATCTAGATTCACTAACCGGCTTCTTCCGAGCGATTTGGGGAGGGGACGGGGAGAGGAAGCGGAATCCCACGTGATACACTCCAGCACGGGATGAAGGGGTAGGGATTAACATGGCTGGAAGGCATGACATCATCAAGAGCCATAACATGGCTCAGTGCATGTATATATGAAGTGGTGGGTTGTTCTCCCTGTCATGTTATGCTGCATGTCCCTTTTGCTATGACATGTGAAACTTTTAAAGTGAATCTTTAGTCAGTTTTATAGAAAGACAGCTGCATGTGAGACTATGAAACAATTTGATACTAAATGAAGTGCAGCAGGATGCTGCAATATAATATTGTAAATTTATATTTCCTCAGCTGGACCAGTTTGAGTGTGAGATTGAGTCTCTGCTAGTGGGGAAGAAGAAGAGGTTAGATAAAGACAAGCAGGACCGGGTGGAAGAACTGAAAGGCAAAGTTGAGAAACATCGGCATCACATTCGTAAACTGGAGACTCTCCTAAGAATGTTGGACAATATGTCTGTGGAAGTTAGTCAGGTGAGCAAGTATTTAAATTCTTAATATTACACTGTGGGAAAGTGAATTAAGTAGTCTTCTGGGTTAGGTCTCTGACAGTAGATATGATAAGTAAGGGAAGGAAAGTAGCTTATCAGTGAATAAGGGAACACAGAGTACTTTACAAAATGGGTAAGTATGATCTCACAGAATGATGATATGTACAATGGGAAGTCATAATGTTTTAATTATCACTATGAGAAAATCATAAATTCCGAAATATTGTACTATATAGGTGCTTCTTGAGCTTGATGAAGAGTCACATTTTCCCAATCCAAGTGGACAGAGGGAGCCACTGGAAAGGGCAGAAGCAAAATGGTGACGTTGGTTGAGAAAGTGGAGGCTTGTGCTATGATACGGTTCCTGCATTTGCAAGGGAAGTCTGCCAGGGAGATCCACAACCGCATTAGCCATGGGTCGGTTTTCAGCATCATCCATGATGAGTTACACATGACAGAGGTCACTGTGTGTTGAGTGCCACGATTGTTGACACCAGTTCAAAAACAGCAGTGGATGGATGCGGCAAAGAAACTTTTGCAGTTGTGTCAAGATGAAAAGGTGGAAGTTTTCGACTGCCTGATCAGGACGGATGAATATTTGGTCTATCATTATGACCCTGAAACAAAGGAAATGAGCAAGCAGTGGGAACATGCAGACTCACCACCACCAAAGAAGGCCAGATCCCAGCTGTCATCAGGAAAGGTGATGTTGAGTGTGTTCAAGGATCGGCAGTCATGATCAACTACACGCAAAAGGGCGTCACCATCATTGGAGAGTACTACCAGAATCTTCTGAGGAAATCAAGAAAAAGTGACATGGAATACTGGAAAAAGGTGTGCAACTTCTTCATGACAACCCACCGGCTCATGCTGCTCATGTTATGATGACACTTGCTGCCAGTTTGGGATAAGAAATTCTCTCCCATCCACCATATTCACCAGACCTGGCACCAAGCAACTTCATCCTTTTTCCACGGCTAAAGAAGCCACTTCTTGGTAAGCGATTCCAAGACGATGATGATGTCTTTTTGCAGTGGAGGAGTTCCTAAATAGTCAAAATGAGACCTATAATCAAGGTATCCAGCAGCTAATGCGTCGTTGAGGAAAATGTGTGGCCTTGCAAGGGGCATATGCAGGTAAGGACTAACTCACATACAGTTTCTTGCACCTGTGTGTCTGTTTCTTCTGGGTGATAATTAAAATTTTATGACTTCCCTACATACATTCTATGGGAATCATTGTAATTAACACATCACTCTTTGCAGATTACCTGGTAATACTACCTGCGTTTGATGAGTTCTTACAAAGATCCATTCATAGTCATGGTAACCCATCATCTACTCCCTGAAAGAAACCTGCCTTGAAAATTTCTTGCAATGGGATTATCTAACAGGTTTTTAGGCCTGTGAGCACTTCCCTCTTCAGGGTACCCATCTGCTTGAACCTTCTGCTTTCCGTAATGCTCTCTCTGTGCAGTGTCCCCTCTTTCATCCAACGCCATACTGCTCACGACCTGCGACGTTCTCCAGGCCCCCATACCTCCCATCTCTTCCGTTCATGAATTCCTTTACTCCTTTTTTTTTTGCCCCAGTTATCTCTGGGCCCTTACCCAAGCTTGTGTCTAACGATGTTTCCCAAGTATGTTACATCCAGTTTGCAGTTTGTTTCTTGCTCATATTTTCTATGACATTGAAGATGAGGCAGCAAACAGAAATTAATACCAGGAATATTCTTGGAATATTCTTGGGGGTAAAGGGCGGCCAGCGAGTAAGGCTGACAGCCTTGCCGCCATCTATGAGCCAGTTGTCTAGAAAATGTGGGAACCTCGACATCTCACAACCATATGGGCCTCCACGGCCTGTTACAGGGATAGCTTTACTTTACTTTTTACTGAAGATGAGTCAGTATGTTCCTCCAAAGTTTCACTGATCTTTGCTGAACCACATAGCATTACATCCCAAAAGATAGAACTCATCAGAGCACTCTGTTGTCGGTTAAGAAAATGTGACATTACGAATTAAAATATCGGTGGGAGAAAAGATTCACTTGTGGTAATAAAGGCTTGCTTTAAGAATTTTGCATGAAATTATTGGTGTTGTGCTTTGTTTCAGATAAGGAGGATTAAGGATGATATAGAATACTATATAGAATCTTCACAAGAGCCAGACTTTGAGGAGAATGAATATATTTATGACGACATTATCGGGTTGGACGAGATAGAATTGTCAGGAGTAAGTGTGCTTCATGTGTATATTAATATACTTCTTACATTTCATGTAATTTCTTTGTATAACTTTAAAATGTGGTTTGCTGGCTACAGTTGAATCTGGATACTGCTGAAAGATTATGAACATATTTTAGTATAATTTGTCATTCTTCTAATGATATTCTTAACAAGAGGTATGCATTATGCTATATCTTGCTAGGGTTAGGTTCTCAAAGAATGCCCAAAACTGGACACAAAAACAAATGTCCAGTAGTTTACTGAATTTAAATGTGTATTTGTTATCACAGTGTAAGTTGTGGCAGGCATGTTCAAAACATGTGGTTTGCAATTTTTAAGTTAATTTAAATATTAGTAATTGTGGAACAGTTCGTTAACAGAGAGAATGGTTGCTACATATAGACATTATGTATGGTGGAACACATACACCTGAAATATATATCATTGCCCTTGTGCTTACCTGACATAATTACTTAAATTGAATCTTCTATGGCTATCATCATTTCAGTTTTATACAGGTCAGTGGATGAAAATCTTCTATTTTCTCACGAACTTTTTGATATTGTGCCAGCACTTCCCTGTCTGCTTGATGTCTACCAGTACTGGCTAAACTGTCTTTTTTTTCAGTGTTATGATAGAGGCCTGTCTTTCAGATTTGAATTCTGATGTCCTTAAAAATGCTTATTGTATCCATTCCTTGTACCCGGTCGAACCATTGTATGTTTCTGTTTCTCTTCTCTTTAAAAAATTCTGTATTCCAACCTTTTCTAAAAATCCAATTTCTGATTCTGTATTTTCTTTTCCTCTCTCCACATCTTAAAAGAGTCATGTCTGTTGCTTGGATTTTTCTTTTGTTTCTCTCCTTAAAGGTCCATGTTTATGTGTTAAGTGTTCATATCAGTTTGAAGTATACTCTGTAGATTGTTATTTTGTATTTTTGCTGTTCTGTCCCATTATATTCTTTTATAATTTGTAAGAATTTGTATTAGTCTGCTGGTTTCTCTGTCAATTTTCCCTTGAATTTATTTTTTTTTGCCGCAAGCAAATAATTTGTTCACTTCTTTAACCATGATGTTATTAATTTTTTTCTGAATTTGTAAGTTCTTTGAAATCCTCATAATGACTGGCATATCTATGAAGGGAAGTCAAATCAAAATGGATCAGAAGCCAAATCATACTAAAGAACATTTCTTACCTCAAGAGTAATCTCCAAAACTGTTAATACTGTCACATGTTTGTAATCCAGAAGTGTTACTTCCATGGAAATGCTAGAACAGACCGTTGCATAAGACGTAACAATAGCGGTATTGTAATTCTAACAGTGAACTGTTGCGTAGAGAACGCTGAATCTCCATGGAGATGAACAACCGAAGACCCGTTACGTAACAGCGGACAGTACGAGTAGAAACGAAACAGTGAGGAATGGTGTCTGGTATCCAGTCCGCAGAACACCTACAAAGCCGAGAGCTACAGATACAGAAGAAGACAGCAGGAAGACAATCTTGGAATAGCCGCCACCAGAGACAGTTGAGATCCAACCACGGCCAAGGATAGTTGAGGTGTCGCAGTAAAGTATTAGAGAATTGAGTATTGAGTATTGAGCCAGCAGTCAAGTGGTACTGCAAGTGTTAATAGTTGTAAGGTATGTAAGAGTGAGTGTCCGATAAAGATTTGCTAAATCCGCGACCCACATAAAGTTATTTGTCGCGTGACATACCCAACATGTGACAACTGGTGTCAGAAGTGGGATCAGTTCGGATTCTGAGGCAAATTTGTTATAACGCCACACGAGCTAAAATGGAGTTAAAGCAGATGATGGAACTGCTGCTGAAGGAAATCAGAGCTGGCCAAGAAAAAGCGGACGCCGATAGAAAAGCCGAGAAGGAAGAAAGGGAGGCCTATATGAAAGCATGGAGAGAAGAAATGGCTGCCATGAGAGACAAATGGGTGAACGACAACTGCGATGAGACAGCCTGCCAAGAGATGGAGGCATGTCAAGATGGGAAGAAGCTGACCTCACTGGACAGGAAACCTGAGGCAGCACAGAAAGAAGAGGTCCCCGCAGTGGCACGGCAGAAGGACAAGTGAAGCGACATTAGGATGTCCCGTCGCTGACGCATGAGAGACATCCTCAGGCTGAACATGACCCACCGTGCAAAAGTGGCACGGCAGAAGGAAAACATCGGCAGAAACTGCATCATGGCCATGATTGAGCGAGCAGCTCAGAGAACAGGGCTGATGCCACTGGGAGATAAGACGGTCAATCCCATCCTTGAAAAAGCTTGTGGGCTATCTACGGAACCACAGCTTTACCCAGCGACACGCGTCTTCGTCCGATGCAAACTGATGTTCATGAATGTCTCTCTTCAGGGCCCCCAAAATGCGAAAATCACATGGGGAGAGATCTGGGCTGTAGGGGGGATGTTGGAGCACTTCCCAACCAAATCTCTGTAGCGTATTCCTCACAGAGGTGGCAGTGTGGGGGCGTGCATTATCATGAAGAAAGATAATGCCATTCGATAGCATTCCAGGGCGTTTTGACTTTATGGCACATCTCAGTTTCTGCAAAGTGTCTTCATAGCGCTGTGCACTGATGTGGCCCCATGCTTGTAAAATTCGACAAGCAGAGGGCCCTTGCAGTCGAAGAAGAATGTCGTCATCACTTTATCGGCTTTGGATTTCTTCGGTGGGGGAGAATTCACATGTTTCCACTGGCTCTGCCATTTGGTCTCGGGGTTCAAAGTGGTGGCACCAAGTTTTGTCCCCAGTGGCAATACAGGACAGAAAAGCATACTCTTCCTTGTGGTATCATTGCAAGTGACCCAGTGATGCAGCCATTCTCTGAGTCTTTTGATCCTCCGTGAGTTGATGTGGAACCCACTGCATGTAGATTTTGTGGTGCAGCTAGTGTTTTGTCAGAATGGCATGTACAGAACCATGACTTATTCCCATCAAAAGGCTAATTTCTTCCACAGTGATCTGTCGGTTTGCCCGGATATGACCATCCAATGCAGCAGTAACATCAGGAGTGATGACATGATGAGCCTGTCCTGGGCGAGCATCATCTTGCAGTGACACATGTCCCTCTCGGAATCTCTTATGCCATGTCAGCACATGCAAAGGTGACATGCTGCGTTCGCCGTAAACAATGGACATGCAACGATGAATTTCTTGTCATCCTACTCCTTCAGCAGTCAAATAGCACACTACACTTCACTGTTCTCCTTTAACCACCTCCATTACTGATGTTGGACAACCACACGTAACGCTAACCTTGCTTCCAGCACAGTAAACAAATGACTAGTGTGCAAGGGCACATTGTCACTGTGCTTTCCCCATTCCCCACCAGATGTTCATACCGTAAGCAAATCCCAGTGTTACCAACTTGCGCACCATGTGAGTTATGCGTCGTGACCTGTTTTCATTTGACTGCCACTTATATATTGTTTTGTGATAAAATTCCATTGATTTTATTTCCCTACAGTTTCCATATTTCCAAGGCATTAACAAATTATATGCAAATATTTTTTTTTTTCTTGGCTGTAAGTTCCTATATTTTGAAGTACATTGGTGTTTGTATTAGAGTATGATGGTAAATTTGTTCTTGACTTGTAGGTTGGTCTCCCCTCATCTGCAACAACAGATAGCAACAACAGTAACGACACAGGAGGTACCCCAACGTCCACCACATCGGGTAACTCGCCTGCCCCATCTCCTCCCCTCAATGCCCTGCACAACCATTCCAGTGACAGCTCCAACGAAGACAAGAAAAAAACAAAGGATGACCTTCCAACAAAGGTAGAGCTGTGAATCAGAAATACATTTTATTGTAAAAAAGATATTTTAAATATGTCAGAAGAGTTTCGCTGTACACCAGGCATGTCAAACTCAACTTGTACAGAGGGCCACCTCAGCCCTATAAATAATAGCCCAGGGCCGCACTTCAAAATAGAAATATACATTAGATTTTGATACAAGGAAATTTAATTCTATTTATTATTTAGGAATAATTTCAATATAATTACCTAAAGTCACATATCTTACAGTTTTAAAAAGCAAGAGAATGCCATTTTTGACAAGTATCAAACAGCTTTTCAATATGTAAAAAGAGAGATTACACAAGAAATTATGTTAGAAATAGCAAAACATTGAATTTCCTGCAGCCTGCTAATTTATGTCTGCGTGAGACTTCTTGTCTTCTGGTCTGTTAGAAAATTGTCTTTACAAAAAATATTTCTACTAAAATTTTAATATTGATTTTAATATCAATTAGCTCTAAAAGTTGAGGGGCCGCATGTTTGACATGGCTGCTGTACAGCATGCCCAGACTGTGGAGGGAATGTATTTCTGGAACTGTGTCTCTGTTGTGATGTTCTGTAACATGAATATTGTTTTCCCATTGGCTCACATGTTATCAGTTTAGGTGCGCTTATACATAAGTTTTTTGAAGCCACAGTTGTAAGGCAGACGTTTATAATCAGCAACACTATGTAGGCATTGTTCCAGTTTTGGAACTATGTTAGCACATGGTGTTTCAGCAAGTATGTAGTTACTTTCTTTCTCTGTGTGATACTTTGAAGGTGAAACTCTCAGCAGATAGTAGACACTCGTCAGGGTATGCTATAGATTACACCTTTTGTAGGGATGTAATATTTATCTCCACGTGAAGTTAGAATAAGAATGTTAATGTTGTTTCAGTCTGTGGGGCCTCCTGCTGAAACAGTGCCACAGCATTCTGTTGTATTAAAAAAAACAAGATAATTCACCCCTGCAGTATTAGAATGAAATACACATATAGAACTACAATTAGAAAGATCTGCATCCAAAAGTTACATACCTGTCAGTACTAGAAAATGTTGGTCAAAGAATTTCATAGTGTAACTAAGCATGATGGTGTTGTACAAGACATGGATATTATATTTATGCACGAAATTCACTTCCTATATGAAAGTATCCAGAAGATTCCATTACACATGCACAGCAGTACATTTCATTTCAGAAGAAATTCACAGCATTTGCTGTGTCTTTGAATTATTGACCATTAAGCCCATGTAGAATTACTAAAGGTGGTGTATGTTCCTTCACAGAATAATTGGCATGTGTTGTTTAGAGCACAATAGATCACTGTAGGTCGCGGGGCAAGGGCGGAGAAGGCCCACCCCTCCTACATCCATTCATTCATGTGTTGTTACCTACATATATTTAATTTGATTACAGTAAAACTTGGTTATAGCAACATCGGTTTCTGCCACACCTTGTCTATTGCGTCAAATATTCAATGGTATGAACTAATTCCTCATAAAGCAACTGTTTTTATACCTTGCTTAGTACGACATGCACAAATGCACGAACCTCGTATGTAACGTCATTTTCATTCCTGAATTTCTCTGATATGGACACTGAACGTAATTTAGAAAGTGTGTATTGGGCAAGTAACAGGAAACAGACGAAGATAACTGATTACTGTACTCGTATCTAGGTACAGTAAGGCACAACAATTGATGTAATCTACTGTAATTTGGTGAGTAGGCCTACCTTTAGTGTGTTACACCTTACATTGTTACAGTGTTAGTGTGGTGTGTATTGTCAGTGGAAAGCGCTGGAATATGTCTTTGATATTACACATTTGGGCAATTCCACGTTAATGTTACGTTAGTCTGTAGTTAACTACGTATTTCACTAAAAAATGCAACATTTTAACTCGGTTTTTGGTAGATTTTTACGTGACTAACATAAGGCTACTGTGGAAGTGCCCATTTCGGTTACAACGACATTCGTTTATAACGACACTATTTTTAGGTCCCTTTGATGACGTTATAACCAAGTTCTACTGTATTTAATATTGCCTGTTAACCCTTTTGCGCAGTCATTTAAATTCCGCTGCCGTCTCTCCGGCGGTAATATATTCAGCCGGCCATTTAAATTTTGCTCGAAAATTATTTATTCATCATTGTTCTTAAATTCTATGAGATAGGAACATGAAACTTTCACTAAAATGATCTTAAATGGTGGTTTTATAACCTTACCTTATAATATGGGCGCCCTGTATCTCGGCCATGGAAGCAGGTTGTTTAGTATTTCAGCAGTGAATGGTACGCCTTGAAGGATGAAACTTTCACTAAAATGATCTTAAATGGTGGTTTTATAACCTTACCTTATAATATGAGCGCCCTGTATCTCGGTAATGGAGGCAGTTGGTTTAGTAGAAGGAAGGCCTTGAAGCATTCGTATAACCCAACGGTGCCCCACGTTCACCATTCTCCGCTCCAATATTGTGTATTTTTTTTGGCCCTTTTTTTTAACCACACATATGTGCGGCCTTGCCTTCTTACCCGTGAGGGGTATACTTCAAGGAAATGTCTTTCCGTGACCCGTTTAGTTGCCAGGTCAGCTGTAGTAAATTCAACGTTACGAGTTATCATAACAAGGGGTTGTTGCTATGCCTTTGATATTCCATCCATTTTGGCGGCAGGAGATGTCGTAGGGGTGACCACAGAATTCATGAAGTTATTCTAAGAACTGTCTGGTATGTAGTGAACGAAAGTAGAGCTTAGCTGGCTCAAAAAAATATTTATGGTCATCCCTCGAAACGACCACCAAGGTCAGTACGATAAAATGGCGTCAACTGGAGCGATAATACATGAAGGAATGAGTTCTTTTCCCCCCACACACACCAGTATCGTCATACGGGGTGACCACAGTGTTCTGCCTTAATTCGTGACGTTTTTCCAAGAACTCGCTGCTATGTACTGTGCGAAATCAATCGATCTTGCAAGAATAAATTTTTGGACATCCCTCTTCTAAGAATTCCAATTGAGTGTGTTAGTGTGGCCAGCTCAGGGCAATATGATATTATAAACACAGCAATATCACGTCTCTGCTGTTTATAACTTCATAGGAAAGAAAACACGACATTCATAACAGCTTCAATGACGAAACCTCTCCCAAGAGCAACAGGAATTTTGCTGCAAGACAGGCATACGTAACGATGACTTAGCGCAGAAAAACTCGTGCCTCATTACATACTGTCCTTCTGACAACAGGCCAGCGAAAAATCTAACAATCTACAGCAAAACCATCAATTATTATGGGCGTTATAACATAGGTGTGCAGCTGGACGAAACATAGACGTCGAACCCCCCAGACGATTTAAATACCTGACGAAACATACACGTCAAACCACGCTGAACGGTTAATCTGTTTTCAATTTTGTACAGTGAAGTCAGCCAGTAATACTAACTTAGGACTTGCTAATCAGGTTTTATACTTCAGTAATAATTTATAATGTGTAGTCAATGAACAATCTAAATGCTCTTTCCAGTGGCTTAAAAGCTGGTTATGTGAAGTGAAAAATATGATGCACCTTTTAGAAAAAGAAAAGAGCTCTGCTGCTAGAAACCACCTCAGTTCTAAAATATCCAGAATCCACTTGCATGTGTGTGTATGTGCGTGTACGCATGTATGTGGATTGAGGGAAAATTTCGGTTAAGTTTGTGTAATAAGTTTGAATGGATCTAGACTAGCACAGCATCGGTTCAGAACTGCCACAGAATCTCTGTGTGTAGCCACCTATTCACATATTGCATGGTATAACAGGATTAAAACTTAAAGACCACTCAATTTTTTACCTTTCAGCCTGTGAAACCAACAGCTGTTAGAGTGAGCAACAACAATTCCTTGATTAGCTCCAGTAACTGCTCACAAGTTGCACTGAAACCAGTGCTTAACTCAAGTACACCCAGTAAACCTGTATCAGGTGAGAATGTGACGTCGTTTGTTTGTGTGACTAGCCTACACTTTCTGCTGGAATATGTAATAAATCGAGTCATTATGTCAGACTGATGTATTGAAATTCAGTTTATCTGTATAATCTTCTGTCAGTCCTAGAAGAAAGGTGACATAGTAAAGAGGAACAGAACACCTTGGAATTTACGTCATGTTACATGCTATAATATATTAGTAGATATTTAACAGAACTGAATATAATACCATGAGTCTCAGGATTTGAAATAACCCAGGTTAAAGATGTGGTAGGATCGTATTATAAATATTATTTACACGTGCCTCCTGGGTTTTCAGGATTGTGAGAAATATTTATGACTGTTTAAGTTCATGAATTGCCAGGAATATTAACATTAATATAATTTTCATTTTCCTTGTGATGGTGTTTCCAGGTTCATTGTCTCAGTCTACACCTAACAACAGTTCACCCAGTTCGGGGCTAAATAATCATGTAGTTGGCAATTTCGCAGCAGTTGCAGCAGCCAACTCACAGCCAAATTCTACTTCCAGTAAAAATACATGTAAGTATGAGAGAGACTTAACTGTGATGAGTACTTCCATAGCCCATAAATGCATGACTGACTGGTTTTGTCCCAGTTGTGCTGTATTTTCTGTTTAAAATTAATAAATATTGCAGCTTATGTATTAACGTAAACATAAAGAAATCCAAATGAGTAATGGAGGGAATAAGAAACATTTATAATAAGTTTGAAAACTTTGTGGTCGTAGGTGGCAAAGAAATCTGACGGGTTTCAGACTTCAGAGGGTTAGACAGGGGAGTGTTATATCATCCATGTTACTGAACGGGGTAATGGATGAGATAATAGAGGCTATTCAGAAAGTAACCTCCATTTATTTTAAGCAACTAATGTAGGAGTGGGGCAGAGCTTGCGCATGCAAGTTAGTGTCACATAACTCAATACCTTGTAAACCTTCACATAATTGGTCACCTAGTGCTTGTTCTTGTCTCCACAGAATGAGTTATGCGTATCCTGCGATTGCTAATCCCACCAGCAGCGAAATTTGCGCTGTTATCTGCTTTCTTCACACTAAAAATGTGAATTCTGTGGAAATCCATTGTGAATTATGTGCGGTTGACAGCTAAAATGTAACGAGTGAAGGAACTATAAGAGTAGTGGTGTAGAATATTCAAAGAATGGCGGGTGAACAGTGTTCACGATGAAGAGGGAAGTTGTCAGCTGGCCATCTGTATCAAGTGATGATCTTGTTCAAAGTGTGAACCAGAAAATTAGTGAAAGATGGCACTTCACAAAAAATCAGAACTTTTGTGTGAATTTTCACAAATTCCACACACTGTTCTCTACTAGATCATCACAGTCAGGCTAGGCTATCTCAAGTTTTGTGCAAGATGGATTCTGAAAATGCTCATGGGTTCTCACAAAACACAGAGAATGGCTTTGGCTTTGACTTCGGCTTTTTTAGAGCAGTACCACAAAGATGGTGAATTTCTCAATCACATCATACGAGTAACAGGTGATGAAACCTGGATTTCATTTCTGAATGTTGAAACCAAAGAACAGTGAAAGCAGTGGATGCACACACATTCACAAAACAAGCCAAAAAAGCTGATGGCAACAGTTTTCTGTGAAAGGAAAGGAGTGCTGATGGTGAATTTCATCCAACAAGAGACCACTGTAACGTCAGAAGTGCTAAATGCTAAAATAACAACTGTGTACAAAAGGGTTGGAGTGCTCCTACATGACAATGTACATCCACATACAGCTGCTCGCAATTGAGTACTGCTGGAGTGTTTCAACTGGGAGTTGTTCTACCACCCTCTGTGCACCCCTGTTCTTTGCTTCGAGTGAGTACCGCCTGTTTACCTACCTGAAGAACTGGTTGGGATCATAGCACTTGAACAATAATGAGGAGTTGATATCATTGTCAAAACATGGCTGAGCTCACAGGTGTAGACTTCTTTGACACGGGTATACAAAAACTGATATAAGTGCCTCAGTTCTGCTGGTGACTACATTGAGCAGTAGATTAAGTATGTATGTATTTTTTGTATATAATAAGTTTTTTCTCCTTACTTGTTTTGTTAACAGCTCACTGGAGGTTACTTTCCAAATAGTCCTCGTAATAAGAGCAACAGGAACATGTCAGATACTAGTAGACTAATGTCAGCAGAATTGAGATTTTTAAGGTATGTAGAAAGAAAAGCCAGAGGAAGGGAAACGAGATGGAAAAAGTAGAGAGAATTTTAAGTTGAAGACTGTTACAGATAAATTGTTGCTTAACAGAATGGGAGTGTATGGGAATATTCTAAAAATGGAAATGTAATCTCAGAGAAGATTTCAAACATTATGTTAATGAAAATTATCTGGGAGACAACTAAGGTCGAGATGGAAATTGCATGATATAAAAGATGCCATACTGGAGAAAGGAAGGAAGGGGACAAATCAAAAGGGAGGAGGTGCCCACCTTTAGGCACTGTTTTGAGCCATCCAATTCACATTCTTACTATATTTCCAAGGATTCACTGTAATGTTAGCCTTGTGACAGTTGAGTTGTCCATGGGGAGTCCCAGCCAGAATTGTGTATGCTTTTCTTGTTTCTTCATCTAAGCTACTGAAACAGCTTCCATGAACAAGAATAGTTATACTGGAAAGGAAGGCTTATATACAGGGTGTCCCAGGAGGAATGTGCCAAACTTTAGGAGGGTGTTCCTTATGTTAAAGTATGCCGATATAACCCAAAACACCCATGTCCAAAGATGAACGGTTATGGAGATAATGGCCAGAGAAGTGTGAAACTTTGACCGGTGTTACACACTTGTTGATTACAAAATACATATTAAAACTGGCAGGAATATGTGGTTTCTGTAATGTTAATAATGTACGTAACATCAAACTAACTTGTGAGTGACATGAAGCCATAAAATTGAAGTACAAAATACTCGCTCCCCATGTCATAATTGTCCTTAGCTTTCCAAGCACTATACATGACACATGACTGGCAAGAGCTGATGTAACATGGCTGACTGCGCTATAAGCTGACCACATAACTGTATTAAACATACATTCACGGAAAATCTCTTTTGGAATTTCGTTTCCATTATCTCATGTGGATTATTATGGGACCACTTATGCACATTTTGTAAATTATTTACACTGTCCAGGGTAAAAGACACATCATCACTGAATAAAATGACGCTTAACAGTTTGGGATGAGCTTTTATCCAGTGGCACAAATCCATATACTGTGCATGGTCGCCTGGTTCCAGATGTTGTACCCTTTGATCATGGTAAGGATACAACTCTTCATCATATAAAGTTCGCCACACCTGCATACGTGATACGTCGATGCGAGAGGCCACACCTGCAGTTACAACACCCGCAGCCAAAAAGGGAACACGCATCACGAGACACGATACACACGGCATATAAGAGGAACGACTGCCATAGTGGAGGAACCATGCACGGGTTTTGAATTGGGACAGATAAGATGAATATCTTAACAAGATTATAGTAAAAAAAAGTTATTATAACTGACAAATATTTTAAAATACTTTTTAAATAATTTTACATTGACATAATGGCGTGCAATGCAATTGATTAATGTAAATGGAGCACCTGATGATGGCACTATGGTGCCGAAACATGTTGTGAAGTGACAGGTAAAAGTGGATGCACTGCAAGACGGACACTGTATATATATCATGGACAATATTCCACGTGTGAAAACACGAGGCATTTCAGCAACTCCTCACAATTAACCTACCAACCATTCACAACCCAGCCGCAGCATATACTGAAGGGAGCTTACGGCTAGTGTGAATCACCACACTGAAGGACAAACAGAGATAAGACATCTCAGCTGACAGGTATAGTGCGTGGACCCGCCAGAAGACCACACTTTTCTCGGGCCATTATCTCTGTAACCGTTCAACTTTGGACATAGGTATTTTGGGTTATATCGGCATACTTTAACATAAGGAACACCCTCCCGAAGTTTGGCACATTCCTCCTGGGATACCCTGTATTGTTTCTCAAGTCAACATTTAACAACTCCTGCATTGATATTTCACTTTTCTGAGACAGTGGGATAGGGCTTTCGAAATAAGAAAACAGTCCCATGCCAGTGTCAGATGATGTGTAGTAAGATACATGGAAAATATTTCACTCATTTGATTCATCTTATTAACTTTATTGACTGCACATCAGATGTGTTTGAGTGAACATTACACAGTCCATCTGGCTTTTCAGCACTGATACAGTTCCCATCCCTCAGTTAAATTTTGGCATCTAGACATTTAGATGTAGGATATTTAAAATCTCCTATACACTGACAATAAAATATCACACTTAAATTGAAACATTGCCGCCACCCTGTAGCAGTGGAAGGTGTAAAATCACTATTCACAGTCAATAAATAAAGATATGTGATTTCATTCATCATATTAAATTCTGCAACTGTTATTCAGAACACTTCCCAATTCAGTAACATTTAAATGAGATGGACATTTGGGTTTGTTTAGGTACCCCCAAGTAAAGTGGCAGACATGATTGTCCCTACCAAAATGGTTTTATTAATACGGTTAATTTTAATTTTTAATGTCTGTTCTTACTGTATAAAATTTACTGAAGATCAGGTATAAGTAATATTATATCACTGAAAGGTTTTTCCACAGGGCTGTCTTCATTGTACCATATGTAAAAAGAATTTGAAGAAATGAGATAAAATGTCAAACAAAAGTTCAGAAAGTTGAACTTTGAAATTTATGCTTGCTGTTGATTTGTAATAAATTCACATGGTGTGAATTTGTATTTTTGCAGCACACAGTTCAGAGAATGGAAGTCTGCCATCTAATACAGCGCCATCGCAGCAGCAACAGCAACAGCAACAGCAACAACTGCCATCATTATTACAACTTACAACATCTCCACCACATATAACATCTACGGGTTCAGCAGCCCCTGCCCCTACATCTGGATCTTCACACCATCAGCAGTCTTCATCAGCATCTGTATCAGTGGGAGGGACGACATCAATCCATCACCATCATCAGCCTTCATCAGGAATAACACAAGGACAGACACAGTCCACAACACACCACCAGCAACCTACATCTAGAGATGTGAGTACTACTACAAAACCTGTCCATGTTATGAAATATATCCAGAAAGTAAAGATACAAAGTACAGGAAATATTTATAAAGCATTTTTTGGAGGGAGTAACTTGTAGTACTTTTACAACACACCTTTATTTACTTTTCAAGGTAGTCACCATGGATTGCAATACACTTAGCCTGCGAATGAGTTTTTTATTCCCATGTCATAGATATCTCCGACCTGCTCTCTTAGACATGGAGAACAGTTCTTGACACTTCTAGACATTTTTGATGAAGTTCATCGATGGTTAAATGTCTGTCAGCATGAATGTTTTCATCAGTGACAACGGATGGCCTTGCACACCTCATTTCATCATGAACATCACTTCTTCCTTCTTCAAATTGATGACACCATTTTGCCACATTTTGCCTGTTCATAACATCTTCACCTTAAACAGAAACAAGTTGGTGATGAATTTCAGCAGCAGTTTCTCCTTCTGCATGAAGAAATTGAATTACTGCACAAACCTCACATTTTGGTGGGATTTTGGATCAACTCAGCCATTTTAAACACAAACTGTGAGCACAACATCGTTGTGACTGGCCGGTGAACTCAGCCTTGTCATACAGATCCTATCTCATATGGCAGCACTGCCATTTCTTTAAAAAAAAATTCCTTGCATTTTTACTGGACTTATATCTTTACTTTCGGGATATCTCTCATAGTTAATCTTTTCCAAGACTGTCTTTCTCTCCTGCTGTTAGCCTTGTCCCTTAACTGAGAGTATTTAGCCATCTTGGATCTAGCAAATTTATTACACATTCGCTCGTACACTTATACAATTCACAATTACCCAATTACTGCCATCTGCAGTATCACAAATACTTCTCCTGTTTCCATTCACTCCGGCGAATGCTAGACTGCAACTGACTCCGCGACTTCACGATCCACACTGTGTCACTCATGATCACACACTCTCTCACATACTCCTCAGCCGGCTTTTTATACTGTTCCCTGTTGCCTCATGTTACCAGTGGTGTCCCCTTGTTATGTCGCAGTGGGAAGTGCTGTTACGTCACTGCGGGGGAAGGGGGATGAAGCGTTGACTGGCCTGTTACTGTAGCAGTGGCAGTTGGTCTGATGCTGTTACGTTACCGCTGGAGGGGAGGTGTCCTGCATAGCGCAACTATGTCACACTGCTCCCTTCTAAAGGTTGTTCATCTCGAACAGCCTAACGGTGCACCCCTGTTCCTTTTTCTTCCCATTGCTGTGTCTCCTTTTGTTTTGGCTGCTACTCTTGCAGTGACTATCCTCCGGCCGTCACATCTGCTCCCTTCTTAAGATTGTTCATCCCGAGCAGTTCCATGGTTCAGCATTTGTCGATCCATTGTATCACATTCATTCATCACTTATTCCCTCCTCATTCACTCTGGGGAGGCCGGTGTTTCTACATTACCAGTTCCTCATCTGCTTGCAGTCTCTTTTTCCGTTTTGGAGGGAGTCTACCCCTCTAGAAGGTAAATTTTTTTTTTTTATAACCTGTTGGAAGTACCGACTACTTGTTTCGTGATCTTTCCTCTGAAAATCTCATTGACAGTCTTCTTGCTCATTTCTCCACTTTCCAGGTGTGATCACTATTCTGATCCACACCCTTCGATGTAGTTCACGGTTTCCCTCTTCTCTCTCATGTACAGCAGCTGCTTGCTGCCTCGGTCCTTTGTTCCTCGTTTTCCTTCATGGTGTGTCCGTAAATTTTTCCTGAGCAGCCCTGCTCTCTGGGTTGCTTGCTCAATCACGGCCATGGTGCAGTTTCCCCCAACGAAGTTTTCCTTCTGCCATGTCACTTTTGCATGGTGGCTCGTCCCTCTGCGGGCGATGGCCAGTCTCTTCCGGGATCCACACTTTTCCCATGTCTTATCCTTCAGTTCCTGGCGGCGATGCTCCGCAGCCAGTTTTCGGTCCCTACTCCGTTTCTTCTTTGGTTATTTGACCGGCATCACTGTGGTGTCTTCTATAGGGACTTCTCGTCATTCTGCCGCCTCGGGTTTCCTGTCCACTCAGGTCTGCTCTTCTTCTTCTAGATGTTCCTCCATCTCTTGCCAGGCCATCGTCTTTACATCCATTTTGGGTTTGGTTTCCGCCACTATCTCCCTGTGGCTGGTTTCCATCATTTGCATGGCCAGCAAAATGGTGTATGTCTTAGCCTGGTATTCATCCATCTTTTTCAGTATTTCCTCTTTGGCAGTCTTTCTGTTGGCCTCCATTTCTTCTTTGTCTCCCTCTTTTTCTGCATGGCTTTATCTCCTTCAGCAGAAGCTCCAACATCTGCTGTGACTCCATGTCTTTTTCACGTGTGTAAGTTCGTAACCAATTCTGACACCAGATTGTCACGTGTTGGGTGTATAACGCGACAGATAACTTCACGCCGTCTTGGATCTAGCATATTTATTGCACAATCACTCGTACACTTATACAATTCACAATTACCCAATTACTGTCATCTGCAGTATCACAGATACTTCTCCTGTTTCCATTCACTCCGGCAAATGCTAGACTGCAACTGACTCCGCGACTTCACGATCCACACTGTGTCACTCATGATCACACACTCTCTCACATATTGCTCAGCCGGCTTTTTATACTGTTCCATGTTGCATCATGTTACCAGTGGTGTCCCCTTGGTACATCAAAGTGGGAAGTGCTGTTATGTCACCGCGGGGGTGGGGGACAGAGTGTTGACTGGCCTATTACCTTAGCAGCGGCAGTTGCTCCGATGCTGTTATGTCACCGCTGAAAGGGGGTGTCCTGCATAGCGCAAATACATCACAATATGTAACGATATACACATTCCTTTTGAACTAATCTAACAGTGAGACTTGAATATTTACTGTCATCATAGTGATACAGTTTTGTAATTATTGGCAGTATCGAGTTCATGTCGAATCCCAGACAGTGGTAACAGCAAAGGAGAACTGTGATACTAATTTGTATATGCAAAGCATGCTAACATGGATCCCATTTAGGGAATATTCTGGTAAAGAAGATGCTATAAACAATACCCCATGGGCATTAGGACAGGCATCCCAATGAAGCAACAGCCAATGATTCCTTCCACAAAGAACTCTATTAGTTGCTGCTAGAATTACATTTGACCAGCCCTTGTCTTATCTTACCATAAAAGTAATGGCACATTGTATGATTCAGATGTCAGCGTCACAGGGTGGAAACATTACAGCAGGCAGCCAGCTGGTCTCTGCATTATCTCAACAATCTGTCAAGCAGCAACAGAGTCTGGTCAACTCAATGGACCATCTTCAGCATAACAACTCATCATCGCCACCTTCATCTGTAAGCAGTGCACCATCACCTCTCCCCACAGCGGGCACAACAACGCCATCACCTGCCCAGCAGCCCACACATCAGGGTTCCATTTTACCTACCTTAAATGGACCCATCACTTCTAAGGTCAGTGGACAAAATTCTGAGCCTAATGGTAGATGTTGAATATCTGTATATTTTTCATTATTTGTGTGTGATTTATACAGTTTGTTGTTCAGGTGAAGAGGATTTTTAATTTCCTGGTACTGTGGGGCTGACAGTAGTATTTATAATTCAGTGTTTGGCTACCTGGAACATATGGATTTCATTGTTGCATTATTGCAACACAGGGCCAGTAAAAGTTAACTGTAAGCGATAATGTATTAACCCAGGTGTTCCTATTACAGGTTCCTGAGGGTATGTCGTCTCTGAAAGTCATAGCACAACAAGTTATTGATCGTGCTGGTTTGGAGTTACCTCCATCAGAACCACCCCGAGGATTGTTCGACAGCAAATTGCAACAGCATCAGCAGTGTGTGACATCAGAAGCACACATCCCTCCATTACTGGGTGTTGCACCATTAGGTCCAGTACCACTCCAGAAGGAACACCAGTGTCAGTTCCAGATGATGGAGGCGGCTTATTACCACATGCCACACCCATCTGACTCTGAAAGATTGCGGACTTACCTTCCACGCAATCCCGTCCCTACGCCACTTTATTATCATCAGGTGATCAGAAGCCACACTTACATCCTTAGTGTTTGCGAAAAGCAAAGAAGTCTGAAAATTGAAAATAAATCATAATTTGCACTGTTTGTTTGGTTGGTTAGGTTTTGTTTGATTTTCGGAGAATTTTCTCCTGTTTAGAATGCTGAAATTATTGTGTTATTTCATGTTAAGTTATGTTCTACTGTGCATTAATAGTGTTACACCAGTTACAGTCCAGTGCATGCAGACCTCATGAAATTATTATTTATTTGGCAGTATTCGTGAAGTTATGAGTTGATCTAAAGGAATGACCCCATGTTAGTAATATCAGTAGTGGAGGTGGTGGTGATGGCGGCGTAGGCGGCGGTGGCAGTGCCAGCAGCAGTGGTGGTAGTAGTAGTGGTGGTGGTAGCAGTAGCAACAGGATTAGCATTAGTAGTAGTAATATAGTAATAGATGAAAAAAGTGTGAATAAATAATTCAGATAAAGAAGGCAGCAGAAGAGAAAAGAAGTTAAATGTTATCATACAGCATAGGAAAAATAACTGCAGTTCATCAGAAAAGAATGTGGTCAATGGCTCAAAGAAATATGAAAAATAACTTCGAAGCTGGTATACCTATAGATGATGATTGTTTAAAACTTTCAGATATTGCTCCTCTCTACTATCAAGCTATTGTCACATGTTGGTTGTATGTCACGCAACAAATAACTTTACACTGTATTGAATATAGCGAATTTATTCCACTCGCTCTCACAATTACACAATTTACAATTTCACAATTACTGCCATCGGGACTATCACAAATACTTCTCCCGTTTCCATTCACTCCAGCGAATGCTAGACTGCAGCTGACTGGTTACTCCACGATCCACACTGTGTCACTCCTGATCACACACTCTCCTCACATGCTTCTCAGCCGGCTTTTTACACCGTTCCCTGTTGCTTCTTGTTACCAGCGGTATCCTCTTGTTATGTCACCACGGGGGAAGTGGACGGAGTGTTGACTGGCCTGTTACTGTAGCAGTGGCAGTTGCTCTGGTGCTGTTACGTCACCGCTGGAAAGGGGGGTGTCCTGCATAGCACAAATACGTCACACTGCTCCCTTCTAAAGGTTGTTCATCCCGAACAGCCTAACAGTGCACCCCTGTTCCTTTTCTTTCAAGACTGTGCTTTCTGCATCTTCTTTTGGTTCGGCTACTCCTCTTGCAGTGACTATTCTCTGGCCGTTACATCCGCTCCCTTCTTAAGATTGTTCATCCTGAAGAATTCCATTGTCCAGCGTTCGTCGATCCGTTGTATCACATTTACTCCTCACTTTCATCCATCACACATTCACTCTTGCTGGGGAAGCCGGTACTTCTACATTACTCGCTCCTCCTCTGTCCGTTGTTTTCTTTTCCATTTCGGAGGGGGTTGACCTCTCAATAGTGTCCAGTCTTTGATCATGTCTTTCTTGAGAAGTTTCCTTTGTTGATGTAACAGTGTGGCCTGCACTCTCTGACGTAGTCATTCCTCCTGGTCTTCCTGCCACTTGCTGGTGCAAGATCGTGGCGTAACAGTGCCCACTGCTGGTTTCTTTTCATTGCTACGTTTAACCCGCAATGGTTGTGACTCGTCATCAGGCTGCATGCAGAGACGGTGTAGACAATTGTCGATGGCCAATCCTTTCTCTGGGATCTGAAGGTTCCCTGGGTAATTTCCTTCTTGAAGGCATCTCTCCTGCGTTGTGCTACTGTTGCATGGTGGGACACCTTCCGGTCTCTTTGTGTTTTCCGTGCCACTTTTGCATGGTGGCTCGTCCCTCTGCGGGCGACAACCAGTCTTCCTTGGCACCCATCCTGACACTGGGTCCGTTCATTCATTTTTCACTGGTTTCTTTCCCTACGCCTTTTCTTCTTCGGTTCTCCGACCGGCATTACTTCGGCATCTTCTACGGGTACCTCTCGTTCTTCTGCCGCCTCAGGTTTCATGTCCACTAAGGTTGGCTCTTCTTCTGGACGTGCCTCCATTTCTTGGCAGGCCATTGTCCCTTCTTCTAGATTCGCCTCCGTTATTTCTCGGCAGGCAGTATAATTCATTGTAACTTGTGGCGTGTTCTAGTTCGTAAACAATCCTGACACCAGTTTGTCACATGTTGGTTGTATGTCACGTGACAAATAACTTTATGCCATGTTGAATATAATGAATTTATTCCACTCGCTCACACAATTACTGCCATCGGCTGTATCACAAATACTTCTCCTGTTTCCATTCACTCTGGCAAATGCTAGACTGCAACTGACTCGGCGACTTCAAGATCCACACTGTGGCACTCCTGATCACACACTCTCCTCACATACTGCTCAGCTGGCTTTTTATACTGTTCCCTGTTGCCTCGTGTTACCAGCAGTGTCCCCTTGTTACGTCACAGTGGGAAGTGCTGTTATGTCACTGCGGGGGAAGGGGACGGAGTGTTGGCTGGCCTGTTACCATAGTAGCAGCAGTTGCTTGGATGCTACTACATCACTGCTGGAAGGGGGGTGTCCTGCATAGCGCAAATACGTCACACTATTGACAGAAGAGTGGGCTATAGAATGTGAGGCAACTGTGCTATAAATTTTGTCCCCTCTGTTTTACCTTACACCTTAATGATTTCATTATGAAGTGCTAGACTGCTGCATTAGATAGCAGTAAGAATGATGAAACTTGCAGCAAATACACAAAGAAAACGTTTTTCATGTGTGACTCTCCTCACACAAGAGATGCTTATGCACATTAACATGAATGTTTTTATCTTCACTGAGATGTCAGTTGCTGTATATGAAATGAATGGTGCTCCATTGTAGCCTGACATACACAATCTTGTAGTATTTGTGGGAGAGTTCTTACGGAAGATAGAGGGTATAAGAACTTTTGTATCCTTCCTGTTTTATGTATATATGCTGAAGCTTTGAGAACTACTTACAGAGCTATTCCAATCAAGAATATGTATCTGATACTTAGTGAGATCTGCTGGATGGAAGTAAACAATATCACACTGTCAAAAACCTCTGCACTTACTATACTTGCAACTGGTGTGCAGTGGTAATCTCACTGCCGTTTTCTACTTCCATCATTATAAGGATTGCCACTGAAGCAGAATTCTTTTTATACTGAGGGGAACTTTTGGTTTTAAGAGACTAGGTAACCAGGGGATTGAGAAAGTAACATAATGAAGATCTTCAGGTCTGTACTCTATACCTAATGACAGTGTTCAAATCATGGGCGTGATGGGTGATGCATGTAATGCACATGGGGGAGATGAGAAGTTCATACAAAGTGTTATTCAGAAATCTTGAAAGGAAGAGACCATTTAGAGGATAAGATAACATTAAACTGGATCTTTAAGAAATGGTATATAAATGTGTTGCTTGGATTCATATGGCTCAGGATAGAGTCTAGTGGCAGGCTGCTGTGGAAACTGTAGTGGGAACCTTGATGTTTCATAGAGAATATTTTGACAGTCAGACAATTGTCTGCTTTGCAAGATGCAGTGTACTCTATGGAGTATGGAATTGATTATAAAAGGAGGTCATTTGTTATTCATTTTATACATCACCTGCACATGAATTTAGCCTGCTAAAATGCTTGGAATTTCAGGCTCATGTATTGCTTACGTAACGAGTGTGTCCCTTAATTTTTTTTGTGACATGTATAAGGAGAAGATTTTAGACTTATAGTCACTTACAAAGTGTATCCAGTCAAAACATTCACAGTTTGATTTTTCTATATGCATAGTAGTATGAAATTAGTGAGTGTATTTCTTTTCCTTTCACTATGGTGAAAATCATGTGTAATATATTGTCAACATACTTAGAGAATAGACCTTGGGTTTGGATTGTTAATTGGATTTATTGGACTCTTATAACATGCAGCAACAATTAATTACAACCATTTCACTAATTTACACACTTTACAACTCACTACAGCATGCACTAAGTCTTCTCTGGCTACACTAGGCATTGCCTGGTAACAGCTCCCAACACTGTAGATTCTTCTGCTTCCATGTTCACATCTTTACTGGCTGTCGACTGTCTTACAGCTCCTCATGGTCGCAGCTCCTGGCCATTGACTTCTAGCTGCATCTGGCCACCAGTGGCAGGCTCTTGCTATCCTAATGTAACACTCGCTTCTGACTCAGAACTGACTATTAGGTTCAGTCCCCAGAGTTTGGCCTCAGTACTCACCACATAGAAAACACCTACTCGAACAGTTCTTCTGTTGTTGTAAACATGGTACAGATTGAAGTTCTTCATAAATATTTAGGCTTAACACATCACAGAGTGGCTTTTTTAAGTGCCAGTCCAATGTTATGAATGTTGATGTCATATTAGAAGGCTAGGGCCATTTCGTTGAAATTCGTATGCACAATATAGTGATTGATTTAACGAGAACCTTTGGCCGTACCATAGCTAAAGCGGTTAGTTGCTGGCTTCCCACCGTGGCGACCCAGGTCTGGTCAAGTGGGATTTGTGGTGGACAAAGTGGCGTTGGGGCAGGTTTTCTCCAAGGACTTCGGTTTCCTCTGCCAATCTTCATTCCACCAATTGCTACACAATCACCCTCACCTATCATCTGGGGCTGGTACAATAGGGCAGAAGTGGCTGCAGTACAAGGGACTTAGTCCCACCCGTCCCACCCCACTAGCATTAAAAAAAATAATAATAATGAGAACGTTATTTAGAGTAAGATATTTACTACAACAAGTCCTGTTACAGAATGTTTTGAAAGTGTGTACCAGCATGATGCATGCATAACTGAGCATGAAGAAGCATCTTTGTAGACACTGCTGCATTTGCAAAATGTCTGCGTTGATGTTGGATATATTGTTTTTCAGTTCATCCAAATTGCATGGGTTATTGTGAAAGGCATTATCTTCATGTAGTCCCATGGAAGAAAAACTGGTGGTGACAGATCGAGCAAGTGTGGGGGCCATAGTCCTTTTTTAAATCTTTCAATCTCTGAACAATAGTGACAGCTTGTGCACAGGTACCCCTGCTGTATTACATGTTGCACTGTCTTGTTAGGCTCGTCCTCTGGAAATTTCCTCGTCACTAAAGTACGCATTGACTTCATAGACTATGTCAGTGTGTTTTTGGTTTTTTTTTTTTAAAAAAAAAGAATGGGCCCAGCAATCTTGTGGTGAGACACTGTGTACCACGTTCCAATCTTGACAGGGTGACGGGAACTTTCATGGGCTGTTTGGGATTTCCCATGTATTATATGCGAGTATTATGAGGGTTCAGATAACCTATAAGTGGAACCATGCATCTTTGGAGAGAAAAAAGTCATAAAGTTATTAACATTTTAAAATTGGGTTCTCATTTTTAAAAAAATCACCCTCTAATAATTTAATATCAGCATTTTCTTTCCTACATTTTGTATCTTAATCATTCCCAACTTCGTGACTTTTACTATATCTTTGTGGAGAATTATACTTCTGATTCATAGTTTCAATGATTCTTAGGGCATCTCATTGTAGCTTGTGGTTCGTAATCTTGAGATATATTTCTGTCTCTCTCTTTCTATGATATAGTGTGTTAGTATTTACTACATCTTAGAAATCTTAGACTAATAAACCCATGAAGCGTTTAAACACAATTAGTATATTTCTTGCACAGACTGAAGACAAATCTCAATTTTTAAATCCAGAAATAGGGGAAACCTGTCTTCTATTCGGGTAATTGTACTAAATCAATGCACATGTTTTATGTAGGGACTGAATTCTCATGCACTAAACATTGGTAAAACACTAGAATTTGGGAAAATTATACATTATTTACATGGAACTTTGATTGGAACCACAGAAAATTAACACAAAATCTCTTAGCTCAAGAAATCTTAAATTAGGATTCTACTGTAATTGGATTTGTAGTATATAATGTGAGGCAGAAGAGGGACCTGTCTTTGGGAAACTTGATATACTAATCCCTGTATGAGAAAAAGTTGAAAAACACTGGCATGTAGAATTACAGATTCAAGCATTGAAATGATCTACCCACTAATGCTTGCCATATAATTCTATATATTCTACCAATGTATAGACCTATAGATTACTGAAGAAAACTGAATGAGGAGGAGCTTCATAACTTGTATTCCTTGCCACATATAAGTAGAATGATCATGTTAAGAAGAATGCGATGGGCAGGGCATGCAATTTGTATGGGCATAAAATGGCACACATGCAGGTTTTGGTGGAAATACCAGGAGGAAAGAGACCACTAGGATGGCCTAGACATAGGTGGGAGGATAATATCTGAGTGAGGATAGGGACCAGTGGCAGGCTCTTGTTAACGCTGTAATGAACTTCTGGGTTCCATAAAATTTTGGGATATCCTTGAGCAGATGAGTAACTGCTGGCTTCTAAAGCAGGACTGGGCTCCATGGAGTTAGTATGAATATTTGTGTGGGAAAACTAAAGTAATATGAAATTGTCAGTGTTTGTTGTTGTTTGCTGCTGCTGCTGCTGCTGTTAAATGCCATTATGTTGATCATATTGACATCAGGATTAAGAATATTGCGCATTCATTTAGTGGACAAGCTAACAGGAATGATATACAATAGGTTCCACTGCCACATTCGGATACAGTGGAGTTTTTCCAGCGATTGTCGACGGAGACTCTCTTCTTCATCTTTTACTATATGGAGGGGACCAAGGCACAGTACCTGGCAGCCAAGGCCCTTAAAAAGCAGAGCTGGAGGTTCCACACTAAGTTTATGATGTGGTTCCAGCGCCATGAGGAACCCAAGATCATCAACGAGGAGTTTGAACAGGTACGTAATGAAGTACCACACTTATTAATATAATCTAATTGTTTCCCGAGAATTTCTTCATATGCAGTATTATGTAATGCGAATCTTTTATTTCATTTGAAAGCTATCTGAAATTGTTTATTTTGTTCAAAGTAAACACTTGTGCACATGGTTCAGTAAGGCATGGCATTGTTACAGAGTCATTAAAATAGATAGTATATTTTCCAGTCTGTAAAATTTGGAAAATATAATGTACCTTTATTGCTTATATTTGGAAATGCTGTTTCTGTGTTCTTCACTGTAATCATCACTTGTAATTCAAATGCTCTAGTGTACAAAATCATCTACCTTGAATTTATTCTATTAAAAATACAAAATTATGTCTTCTGTTCCACCTCCAGATTTATAATTCTGACTTTAGGCAGCATTTTCAAATATGTAGCACGTGCCTTTCACTATGGAGAATACAATATACAGGGTGTCCCAGGAGGAATGTGCCAAACTTCGGGAGGGTGTTCCTTATGTTAAAGTATGCCGATATAACCCAAAACACCTATGTCCAAAGTTGAACGGTTACGGAGATAATGGCCCGAGAAAAGTGTGGTCTTCTAGCGGGTCCACGGATTATACCTATCAGCTGAGAGGAATTATCTCTGTTTGTCCTTGACTGCCGTGATTCATCCTATCCGTGCTTATGGAGTTGGCTTTATCAGAACGCGCAGTCAGCACGTTACGTCATCGCTTACCATTCATGTGTCATGTACAGTGCTTGGAACTCTTAACGACAACTTTGAGATGGCATGCGAGTTTTTTGTACTTCAATTTTATGGCTTCATGTCACTCACAAGTTAGTTTGATGTTACGTACATTATTAACGTTACAGAATCCACATATTCCTGCCAGTTTTAATATCTATTTTGTAATCAACAAGTGTGTAACCCCGGTCAAAGTTTGACACTTCTCTGGCCATTATCTCCGTAACCGTTCAACTTTGGACATAGGTGTTTTGGGTTATATCGGCATACTTTAACATAAGGAACACCCTCCCGAAGTTTGGCACATTCCTCCTGGGACACCCTGTATGTCTGTTAGAAATATTCCAAGAAAAGAGCAGTTGCTCCTTACTTTTTCACTGACTCCAGTACAAGTAAGATGAACAGTTTGAATTTAAAATATGTTACATCTTATGGATTTTGATTAAATTAAATATTGGGGCGTCTTTAAAAATATGAGCATGGAACACTATTGGCCAGTTCTTAAATTCCTTTGAGGTAAGTAATATGTGTGTGGGGATTTGTTGTTACTCCAATGACAACCCACTTCTTCGGAAAGTTTGTAGGTCCTGAAAAGGACCGTTGGCTGCTGGGATGTTTGGCCGGTGAAGTAGCGCTACGTACGCCGGTAGAAAGAGATGTTGGTTGTGGTGTGTTGAGGCGGCTGAGTCAGTTGACTGGCCGCAGTGCGGCCATTGCTGGAGGTTGCTTGATCGCAGTGCGGCTGTTGCTGGAAGATGTCTGCTTGCGGAGCGCGGTCACTGGAGTGGCGGCAGCTGCGCCAGTTGGCCAGTGAGTCGGGCATGACCACCAGCGAGTCGAGGCAGCCAGTTGCCCAGTGAGTCGGGCATGACTGCTGGAGAGCCGAGGCAGCCGTGCCTGGCGCAGTGAAGTTCCGATGCCTCTGAAGACCGATTGCTCGGTGCGAAGTGCGATAGCTGGCTTGCTGATGTGGTCACTGACTGACTAATGTGGAACTGACTATTTGCGAGCGTTGTGCTCCGCCTTTTATACAATGCTTGGCGGAGGAGCGAAATTTGCAGAGCGCTGATTTGCTAGCGCGTGTAATGATTGAATGTGGACTAGAAAGTGAGTGCAGTATAAACGTGAGCGTTGATTGGTTAGCGCGCGTGATGGTGAAAAGTGAGCGCTGTAGAAATGGTGTGATAGTATGTGGGATGTTCCCACATGTGTTTTGATAGATGTATTGTGCAGTGATAGTATGGTTTCTCACTTGCAAAAAAGAAAAATAATTCAAAGAAATTGAAAGAAACGAGAAAATCAATGAGACTTTTAAATATGCTTCATCTTTTGTTGCAGAATATACCATAAAGTTAACCTGTGTAAATTGGTAACACATTGATTCTCCCATTTTTATGCTCTATTTTCACACAGAGTAGCATTAATTTATTGCCCTCTTATTTGCTAATAAATTATTTTGCCATGTGATTGGTAACTTCATGAGAGAAGAAAGACTGGAACACTGATACCATATGCCTTTAAAAAAGTTTCATGACCTGTTCTTTAGTTATTGTTATTCTGTATGTGACAGGAACTGTGTAGTATTCATACAGTTACAATATGCAGCATTATAGGTTAACAAGGTAACATACTTCAATTTTCTTTTCTTTTCCAGGGCACATACATTTACTTTGACTATGAAAAGTGGGGCCAAAGGAAAAAGGAAGGTTTTACGTTCGAATACAAGTACTTAGAAGATCGAGACCTGAACTGAACTGATAATAAACATCTGCCAGAGTGGGATTTTCCGTTTTTCCCCCTTGACGGAGATGTCCACAAGTGATATTGTATAGATCTTTTTTTTTTTGTCCTCTCACTTCTGGCTTGACAGGATTTATATATCCCACCATAAATTTCCAGGGGGAAGAGAGAAAAATACATTGCTTTTGGTACAGGTTATCATTTTAAGAAGTTTTTTGTTCATTGACTTTAGTGAGTATCCAGCTGGAACACGGTTTCCTGATGGTGCTAGGATGATCTCTCAAGTTGCTTTTGTGGTGGTGTGAGAGGGGATACCAAGTGAGTCAGCAAGGCAGTGAGTTACTAGTGTACAAAGCAAAGAATAATGATGTTTCTTAGAAAGAATCAGTAGTCAGTGGTGCAGTCCTTTAGAGACATCCATCGTTTCCCCATCGCTCGTCACAGTTCTCAGAGTAGAGGGCTTGCACAACCTTCTGTAAAGAAGATTCTTACTAAGAAGTCAGTGCGACAACTGTTGTAGTTTGTGATTTATTTTCCTAAGATCTAGTGGTGATGCAACTTAAAGGATTAAAACAGTATCACATTTTCAAGGTGTAAAAATACCAGTACAAATATTGGCTAGGATGAAGGAGAAGACAACAGGACAGATATTTGATTGGTGTGCCCACCTTGCTTCTCCACTCACCTGGCCTCTGTGTTCTGCACCGAGCATTCTGCTGCCATTCGTTCACGTGCAAAGTACTTGTTATGTTAGTTTTCACTTTTGTAAAAAGTACATGAAAATGGTATAAAATAAATAATGATCTGTACAGAGCTATTTGTGTAGAATAATGAATAATAATAATAATTATAAAAGAAAACATATGGGTTACATTTATTATTTTGCACGTTGACTAAAACTGCTTTATGCTCTGTGGAATGCAGAGGCAGTGGTGTAGGGTCAGTGGGTGCTAAGTTGTGGTGTATTTTGAAATAGTAGCTGAATGTTCAGGGAATTTCATAACTAATGCATACAGAACATTGTTAAAAAAAAAGAACAGAAAAGAATGAAAAAAAATAGGTCTCTACATTCATCAGAACATTAAACATTAGTCAGACGTTTCTTTGTAATAATGACCTGGGACCCAGCCTTTTAAGATCATCAAACTTTCAGAGAAGTAAATTTAAAATATTTTATTTGTTAAGCAATCCATATGAAATTACTATGTGAAAGGACAGCCATTTAACAAATATTCTTCCAGCAGTGAAGTAGGTATTAGTGAATAATGTCTGTAGAAATGGCTGTTCCTGTATTTGACACCTATAATTTTTTTCTGTTTTGTCAGAAATGTTGAATTTGGGTTCCACTGAATGGATTTTTGTTACTTTTTCCTTGGTGCCAACCTACCTAATCCTGAAGTTTGAAACAGGCAAGAGTATTGTAGATTGTATTCCACAGAGTTGAGTGATTGATGCATTTACACATTGTGTTCCCCATGTTTATTTTACTGTAGCATACTTCAGTCCCAATTCCTTTAGGTTTTTATACCAGTATTACGGTACTGGAAACTAATGGCATTTACATATAGTACATATTACTATGAAGCACTTGTTATGGAAACATGCTTCCCTTCCCTGGTGGGAGCAGAAGGTTAAGATTGGTCAAAACAAGTTACGAACCAATCTGATGAAGAGGCAATGTGCAATTTGCTCAATAATGGTTTCAGTAATCCCTTCCTCACCTCCATGGCTGTGCTTGATTGTCAGGGGTTCTGAAGCTAAGGATCCAAGTTGAAAATTGGTGCACTTGGAAGATGAAATATCTTCTATATATATGACATGAAACAATAAACATCACCTTTGTGTAAGTTTCAGAAGTCTGTTTAAGCCAGGATTTGTGGTGAGTTCAGTCACTGTTCACCGAGCTGTCTTTGCTCGAGACCATGTTTTGCATTGAGAATTTATAATTTTAGAAATGGATATTTCAGTCAACAGAAGTTCCAGATCATATAACTATTTCATTTTATTATAGTATGTTTCACTAATATTCATGTTTGTATATTACAAAACAGGTGCTGTTTATGCTCGGATGGGATGGCATGAAACATGTCTTAAGATGAAGAGAATACAATAAAATTCTGGAAAGTTTTAATTAAGTGAAGCTCATATAGTGATCAGTGAACCCAGTGAGTTTAAAATATTAGTTTTATTTAACTTTCTTTTCATGTATTATGTTTTATACAGAATATTTGTATAATATTTCTCTAGACAAGGGATCACAGATTTGTTGTTATTGCTACTTCATTTTGAGAAATGTTTATATATTAGTGTTACAGTTCTGAGTATAATGTAGCTACAGTTTTTTGCTGTAAAGAAAAATACAATGAGATCATCCCTTCCTTGTTTTAGTTACAAAGTAAAATGATTCCATAAGAAACTGAGATACTGTGATAGAGTTAACTGTAATATATATATATAGTAGTATCATATTTCATGCAAACCCATGTGGGCTATAAAGAAGCAGTTTTATTTTATGTGAAGAATATATTCCTCCTGCAACTAACCTGAAAGAAAAATCCATGCTTTTTAAAGCTTATGATAGATTGTCTTATAATTGAAGTACTATGAAACATGGTATGTGGACATACTGAAGATTTGCTTTGGAGTGTAAGTACAGTATCAAGCCTTAAACTGCTCACAATTCCAGCTCAGGAATAAGTCTGAGGTAATTTCCACAACAGAGAATTTTCAGAATATTTGAATTAGCTGAGTTTTCCGGTAATAGTGTACCAGCTGTTTGCAAGAATAAATTGGAAATTGTTTTTATGGAGTTAAATTGAAGTTTTGTTAAATGTTTATAAGCCACTTATTTGAACCACACTAAAAGTCTGGTATTAGATGAATTGTTTTCTGTGTTGCATACTGAGTTTAATTCTGTTTTCCCATAATTTCTTTGTAGCTTAACTTCTGTAGTACTTCAGCTGAACAGGAATGGAGAGATGATGTAACATGTAAATCCAGAAAATATAAATCACTTTTATGTAGGAAAACAAAATCTTTTGACGTGCAGAACATATTGTAAATTGTATAATAATTAGGTGATACAGGAGCTTAAGTATACATTTATTTTCCACAGTATTGCCTGTGGTGATGATAAAAATGTGCTGTATCTTTTAGTTGACAACTGAATTGTAAGGAGTGAGTTTTGTAGTAATGTTTGAAAAAAGAATACTTTCAGATAATGATTATAAGTTTTGGGGTGAGTAAGAATCTCATGTTGCTTATTCACAAAGAAATATATTATGAATATCAAGTATTAAGTCTTCAGCCAGCTGCAGCCATCTCTTATAGTGTCATTTTCAAAAAAGTTTTCAAATTCGTGCTTTCATATAGTTCACTGTCATTTATATACATTTACATATATTCAAATTTCCTGTTATAGTTTTCTTTGAGATACCTGCCTTGGTTACATACATACATTGACAAAAAGTGGAATGACTGGTTCTTTGACAGGAATCGCAAAAAATATGTACCCTGAATTTAATAGACAGTTCACAAATTGTACTTGTTACGTTATGTTACTAGAGGTGAACACTGTCTGTAGACAGACTTGCAAACATGTTAATTCTTGTAGCATTGTTCTAATATAATTGTATTAGTTTTAACCAATCTCAAATGTGTTTTGTAGCAGCAGTCTGTACAGTCAGTACATATATTGTCAGATGCACATACAACTAAATTACAGGAAAAGTATAATTATTTAAGATTTTATGTTTCCTGCTGTGATTAGTAACCTATACTTCATAATTCAAAATACTATTTAAGTAAACTAGTAGTATCGCATTGTAAAAGTTTATGAAAATTATTACTTCAAAAATATGTATTTTTTGTTATTTAAATTAATTTTTCATGAATAGAAACTGAATGTGCCATGTTAACAATTCAAGACCTGAAACCTTATAAAACAGCATCTGAAACTTAATAGAACTTGCATGCATAGTAGATAACAAATGAGCACATATTAAGAGACATAATATTTGCATAGCCATGAATATTTTACATTGTGGTCTTATGGATTATGACACCTTGAAATTACCAACATTTCAGAGGAACATATGCTACCATCTTCAGGATGGAGAAACAGTTATGTACCACTGAAACACTGGTAACCACCTAGAAGAGTACAGTGTCATAACTATAAGATTGCTATGAAAACAGGGGGTTTGACCATGTTTCCATATTTTCATCAGTTGCATCGATTTGAAACAGGAAGTGAAGTGGAGATAAAAGTGAATATATTTGAATCAGCATTATCTTACTAGTGTAAATTTTGGGCCGTTATGTTGACATCTGTAAGAATATATATAGCCAGTGAAGTAGAGCATGATGAAGCACAGAACAGAATACATGTAACAAATCAAGTTACACTAGTTGGTTTATCCAGTACTGTACTTGAACACTATGACCTGCATTCTTAGATGATATGAGATGGTCTGAGTTCTCCAGGATAAATTAAAACATGGATTGTTGTTTCAGGTTTGATGTAAGGCTAACCAAAATTGTATTGTTATGGAATGTCAGTAGTTCCTGAACCAGTGGTTACTTCTCCTTAACTGTTACCATCATTCAACAATGTCACACTTTATATTTTCTTACAAATAGTGATATGTATGCATCCTGTGTCTTGACCACAGTCCATAAGCGGTGAAATTTGACTGAAGTTGTAGAAAGCTTGGTATGATTTCTATTTTTACTTGGCTGGAGGTTCAAGGAAGTTGTATAAAAATGTAAATATGATGCATTTTTTTTTTTTTCATTTTTATCACAGAACTTCCATTTCCAAGAGTTCTCATATATCATTATGTACTAAGTGGAAAAATCTTAAAAACACTCTTTATCACCATTGTCCTGTAAGTATATTTTGTAAGTTCCTATTTATGTGCAAACTGGATTTTTTTCCTGATAAATTTGACTCCCATCATTTTGAGATACAAGTGAGTATTGTTTAAGAATGTTTCATTTAGGGACCGGATCCAAAAAAAATAGTTTAGAAGCCCTGACAGAAATGAGTATAGCATGATCTCAGAACCACATCCTTTTCCCATGTCATTTTTGCAGCATCCCTACTCACATATCGAAAATTAAAGTATTGGTTGGTTTATTTGCAGTTGTTTTCAACCACAAGTCTTTCTTAAATTCTGACTGACTGTATTGAGAGATGTACACTAGAATTGTCATATATAAATGTTTTTTTTTATTTGTTAATATTGAAATTTTCCTACTGAAAACATTAAAAATGCTACAATGTGCAAATATTAAATTATATTTTAATTTAAACTGTGAGCACATAATGAAAATAAGCGGGCTTTCACCTTCTCCTAATTATGTATATTAACACTATAAACAAAATTCAATAATACACAAAGGTGGGGCCCCAGGCACTTGACCCCACTACATTTTGCACATGAGACCTCAATTGTTTATGGAGATACCAATTTTATCATTATACTTGGTTGCTACTTGTGTGTCATTGAAATTTACCATTAGTGTGCATTCCATTAGCAAAATATAATTATGCTATCCTGAAGAAATAGATTTATTTAAATATTCTAGTAGTAGTAAGAATCTGAATAAGACTTTTGAACCCAACCAGGACTGTATTACAGTCTTGCTGAACTGCAGAGTACAAGTTACACAAAAATGAACACAACAAGAAGCAGTATTTAAAAATGTGATTGGTATCTCTAACTTTGCTTGTGCCACATGTCTATCCATCTGGTCACAATTTGGAATAATGGCATTGCTCTTTGAATGATTGCGATGTGGATTGTGCTTCAGTGAGTGAATTTGAACTGTTGAATTCTGATGTTGGAACCTGCATTACATGTATATTTGAACACTGTGATCCAGCCTGGCAAAACTAGCTGTGATTTTACCCTTTATTGTGCCTGATTATTCAGTAATGCTGAGGGAAGCGATGAAAATTGTAAGATATCCACAATAAAATTAATAGATATTAGAAGGCAGGTTTTACTTCATGCATGAATAAATTTTCATATTATATTACTCCAGATTAATTTTTGGACATCTTATATCATCTTTACTGTTAAGTGAATATTTATTGCAGACCATACTGTTCCTTAAATTTTTACCCCTATCTCACCTAAAGTTTCTTTGATTTATTATTTTTATCATCATTGCAGTAAACATTGGCCACATGCTGAAACATTTTGTCATCATCATAGCATGACAGATTATTTTTATGTTGTGCATGAACTATGTCATGACAGTTTTCTATATAGTTAAATATATCTGAAGTAATCTTGTGGATATTTTAAATATTCTGTACAGTTGAATTGCCCAGGTGTGAAGAATTAATATGGGTTACAGTTTTGTTTTAGGGAAGCAAAATGATTCTTAAGATAATGATCATGTAGTACTGTAGCATCCAAAGACCTCTCAGAGCAGTGTCATTGTTTCATGAAACATTTGTAATGGTATTATCCAGTACTAAAAGAAGCAAGGGTTACTTTGATCTTATACAGTCAATAACTTTTGAGTGCAGTTGAGAGATATGAGCAGAAAACAAGAAATGGTAACCTGAGACAAAATACAATGATTTTTGTCAGTGTATCAGAGGCTTTCATTTCAGTACTAAGAGGCCATGTCCACAAATTTCCCTTATGTAATTATAGTTGTTTTATTCACTTTCTGGCATAGTGATCAAAGAAATATCAGAATTACAACTGAGCTGTGTATGAGGTAAGTTTCTAAAGTGGGAGTGTTGAGGTAACATTTTGAAATTGACAAGAATTTCTTCATTCCTTGTTTGACTTCCTTTATAAACACAATGATTAATTTTTATATTACAGACATTTTACTTTTACCACCAGAAACTGATGCCCAAATTGAAAATATAGAGCAGTGATCTGAAAGGCATTGTGCAATGAAGAACACAGTGGGGGTTCAGTCCCTTAATTACCATACAGATATTTTGTTAGATTTCAAAGAAAAATCAGGAGAGAGAATATTTTCATTATATTGGAAGTGTGTACATAATGCTGATGTAATAATGAACCAGTTAGCAAATTTAGCCATAGTCAAACATGTAATTGTTATCAATACATCATTTTCATATATACTGGTGCATGGTCTTCGTGTGGGGTAACACACAACCAAAGTAACCATGTTGTAGCAGAAAAAACAGGCACTTGAGTATAATTATACTGTGTCAAAAAATCTTAAGAGTGCATCATCATCATATAGTGATTTAAGATCATTACATCACCATTACAAAGCTACTAAGTTCTATTTACAACAGACAGTGGGAACCAAAATGACTGTACTGGAGATTACATTGAACACACAGGACTTTCTTATGTGAGGGTGGGTATTTGAGGCATGATATTCCCTCAGATATTTTAGACAGACAACATCTGATCCTTTAACAGTTGCTGACACTATTATTTTGTGAATGACAAATTAAGAAAAAGACTTATGAGTACCATAATTTCCAGAGTTTAAAGACATTTGCTAAAAAATGCTGTGGAAAGTTGTGTGCATTTTATAGGATGAAGGTACATACTGATGAATTGCATTTCTAAATATAAACAGTAAAAACTTTCTTCTTAAAATTCTCTTTTTATAATCGGGGTGCTCTTAAGAGTCTGAAAAATGAGGAAAATAAATGAGCTTAGAATAAAAGACAGAAGGATTACAAAAAATGTCAGAACTAATGTGAGGATTGAAGCTTAAGGGAAGCTAGATTATTCCAAATTAAAATAGGAGTAAACCACCGGTGAGTACTACATATTATATAATTTGAGAAAAGTGACTAAATTGCAGTGATTATATGAACCTGTCAGGTAACTGGAATTAGAGCATTCTGAGCGGTCGGTATAGTTTGCTTGCGGACTAAAACCACGGAGTTAATCATAATCTACTTAATGCGTATGTTATTCCGATTAGGTGAAAGGACTAATTTATCATTCCAGTTATTAAATCTGTTTGGTGTTAATGAAGTTATGAAGAATGAAATAATGTACTACTGAGCTGTTATAAAAAATTCTTATCATGAAGGTCTCTGGCAAGGTTAACCCCATATCTTAATGATGATACTTGGTAGCTATTGATAAGAAGAGATTAGAAAGTACTTTTGATGTTACTTGTTTGTGACACAGCAAAATTGTCTTGCACCAGCTGACAAAAAAATTAAATGCATTGATTTGTGGAAAGTGTAATTCACATGATGCAGTTATATATTCTGTGCATAGTTTTTACTAATATAGATATCAGCTACCTGAAAGTTCCTGACAATAACCTCTTACATTTTACACTATTGAACATACAAGGTCTGGCAATAAAGTCCCCTGACTGGTGTGAAAAAGGAAATAGAAGTAAAAAAAAATTGTTTTATTTCTATTAAAAGTAATCTCCACCTATCTGAATACATGTGTTGAATCATTTTAAAAAATATCCTGGAAACAGCAAAAGTCTCCCTAAAGGAACAGTGTTCAGTTCAGCTGTCACATTTTTGTAATGTCTTTCAGCATTCTGAAACCTTTCCTTTGAAGGAAATTCTGACCTTAGGAAAGAGAAAAATGCAATTAAGAAAATTGGGATTGTCTTGATGAAGTCTTGGTGTGATATGAGTCTCCATTGCTTTTGCTTGTCCGTGTGTGTGTGTGGGGGGGCAAACTTTGCACAGACCTTCCTCTTCCATATATTCATGGAAGACTTGACTAATCGTCTCCTTATTGATGTTTAATTTATTTGCCATCATTCTGAGAGTCAATCAATGATCTCTTGTCACCATTTTATAAACATTTGTGATTGCATCTGCATTTTGAGGGGTTGAAGGACATCGGCTTCTTGGATCATCCTGAAATCTTCACACCTGTCTTTAAATCATTTAAGTTGTTCAAATATATAGCTACAACTTAAGGCTTCATCACAATAGACAGTTTGCAACATTTCATAAGTTTCTGTTGCAGTTTTACCCAGTTCAAAACAAAATTTGGTATTCGCTTGTTCCATGGCTAAAAAAGTGACAGCAGTGAAAAAAACAACTCACTGAACTGCTACTCAAGAACTGTGAGTGAATGGACATGCTGCACTTTGCCAGCTCTTGGTAACTACGCTTAGTTTGCAGTAGTTCGTTTCACCACCTAATGTGAATGCTGTGACACCAGTCCAGGAACTTAACCTTTAAATGCTGGACTTTTGAAATGGTGGTAAGGTTAAGCTGGCTGAAGTTTATTTAAATGCCCATTGCTACTCTGTGTTTAAATATCTGTTCCTGTTATGGCGCTTAAACAGTTTTAAGCATTGTGTTTAAAAATGCTGTATCTAACACAATTTTTACGATAAATGGATGAAATTAACTTTGTTTGTATCAACAAAGAACATAGTGTCTCATATTATAACGGAAGATTTGAAAATTTATATACAATGAGTTATACTCTATTTTCAGTTGTTTTCTTTTAATTTTGATGCGTACTGCAAAAATGGTTTCCCAGTTCTTCACAGAGTTGTTCTGCATTATAAATTTCTGTTTGTAACACTTGACAAATTTTAGCAGTCCCTGGTGTCATAAAACAGATGGAAGCAATAAAATCATTTGGTTCTCTGCTGGAAAACCTTGCATCTTTGTTACACTGTTCAGATTTTTTAATCTTCTGACTAAAGGACGGAAGAATGAAAGCATGGCTATTCAAGAAAAAGCTAGAGGGAACAATTTGACGGTCCCTTTTTCATTGCCAAGACCTTCCATTATAGCTGCAAGAGATTATTGCCCTTTCTGTGGTCGTGAACAGACAGTTGCATCATGGCTGAGATACAGAGTGTGATCTGTTTTATGTGTGTTCATAGTGAAATCAAATACTGTAGTGTCATTTCAACCTATATATACATCAAGCAGATAACAAAAAAGGTATGTATATTGAATTTTACTATATATTTTTAACACATTAATCTTCAGAATCTGCAATAAAAGTACTGGCTCATGGATGAGTTTGGGCATAACTCATATGTATACTCTTTTTTGCTGTTCACCTAGGTATCATTTTAATTCCTCTATTAGGGTTTTACTCAAGTCTGTCTGGTAATTACTACATTTAAAAATAAATAGTTAGGACTGTGCATGTGCTTCCACGAGTTTAAATGCCCAACTGGCCAAAACAGGGTACTCTGGCCATGACGACCATACTCATCAATGGCCCAATCGGGGCACTTTGGACATTAAAGGTTAAGTGCCACACCTTGCTTTATAAAAGATTTCATATTAGTTATTGCTGGCACAGGCAACAGGTTACCCGAAGACAGGAACTCTCCTTATTCCACATATAATACATGATGTGAAATCAACAACACTCAAATTCATATAGTTTAGTATCCACCATGAACTATTTTTAGTAGCAGTGAAGTATAATCTTGGTTTATGATGATCCACCATGAACTATTTTTAGTAGCAGTGAAGTATAATCTTGGTTTATGATGATCCACCATGAACTATTTTTAGTAGCAGTGAAGTATAATCTTGGTTTATGATGATCCACCATGAACTATTTTTAGTAGCAGTGAAGTATAATCTTGGTTTATGATGAGTGACAGAATTACTGAAAAATAACTCGCCTAGTTTTCAAGTTTAATAAATCAGTTAATTTATATAATCATGGGGTTTGCTGTGAAATATTCAGGAACTAAAAGTCTTTGTTCATTGCCTGCTGTGCATTTACTCTCAACTTTCTGTGGCAGTAAAATTGCTTGTCTAAAGCAGTCAGTATGATGTCCATTCTCCTTTGAAATGTCCTAGTGGTTTGCCATATTCTGGAATCTCTTTGCTGCAAATATACTGGTTTCCACTCTGTTAGTGGAACTTTTGTTACCTCTACACTTGGTCGTTGACTTATGATTGACTTCCATTCTGACTAACAGGTCGTGAGTCGATCTGGTCGTATGTCAGCCATATATTTATTAACAGTAATTTTTAACCATCCTAATCTTTTTATCATCTTTATAATTTATATTTAAAAAATTTACATTTTAATTATCTTTTATTTTTCATTTTTTTTGTGGTCGTAAGTCAACCAAGTGCATTGTTTTGTAAATGTTAAAAGCCAGTAGTTTTCATAAGAGTATGGAAGAGCTGGGTGTTGTAACATTCAATTTTTATTGCCCATGTTTGTTGGAGTGTTCTTAGTATGCTCTCACTTCTTTAAAATACCATTATTCTGCAGTTTGCTTTTGTGATGGCTTCCCTATGGCACTGCATGTTATGTCCTTTTAACATGTTCACTGATCAAATGTTCTGCATCACTTACCTTTTTATTTTCTGTCCAGTAGCTACTATGTAATATTTTATTGAAAGCACGCACTAATAATCTAAGAAGATGGCATGTGCAAGCACAACTTGAGTGAAACTACTGTATTATCCCAAGCTGTAATCAAATATTTACAATATTTAGGGTACCAAGTTCTGAACCTCCTGCTGAAAATAAAATTTTTGAGAGCCTCATTTATATTCATTACCATATTTATGCATGAAATTAATACATAATTTCCGTTATCTACAGTATGCCTTACAAACTTCAACCTACAGTCATGTTTATCAATCTCATATGGCAAGGCAGAAGGATTTACTGTGCAAATGACATCTTCTGAGATGCTTTATGTGAAGCCAAAACACAAGAAACATGCGAGATATATTGAAACAGAAAATATTCAGGACAACACATTATGATAACAGTCTTCTTGGATATGACACCGTATACTTTGGTACATACCAATATTTATACACAGGTCACATTGTTCAGTAACAACACACAGACTTACAATATAAACATAGCAGTTCCTGATAATCTTTCATTTATTTATGCTATGTGCTTGATGTATCAGACATTGTACATTTTTTATATTTACCCATCTAATGCCAAATTCACATATACTGGGTACAGCCCATTCTTGTTAGAGATCTCTATACAATAGACACTGCCCATAGATAAGTCATTCAATGTACAACATGTATTACTTCTTACACGTTTTTACCTTTTTGTTGCCTTTGAGCCTCTTTCTGACTCCTTGTGAGTCTGCATTATCATCATCATCTTCTCCACCTCCTTTTTTTCGTTTCCCTTTTCCAAATGTTCTTGCTTCTATGTCTTTCATCTCCTGCACATCAGAAATTAAACAATGAGATTACAAAGCAAAAAACTGAAAATATACCTGAATGTGAGAAACAAAGGTACACAATTTATCACTGAGTTTCCTTAATTTACAGGGAATAAACTGATACTAAAAACAATTTTTGTATTCCATCTTCTCTTCAACATACTATTTAGGAAATGAAAAATGTTTGAGAGTGGCTGAAAGAATTACTTCAGGATTTGAACCTGTGTCTCTTTTCTGTGACTCTTTTGTCACTTTCTAGGTACCAACCCAAGGCTTTCTGGTGGCATACTGTTTTTAGAGCATAATTTTATTTGAAAGTTTCTTGTACAGGGGGATGGACAGATCAATAGACACTTGTGAAATAAAATTATTTACAATTGTTCATGTCTCAACACAACAACCATCAAAATTCCCACACACTTCACTGTGCTATAATGGGTTTCTTGGTCTAATGGTATTACATCATGCTATATATTTCGGCTTCTAAGGCCATCATCAGGCAGTACAATTTAACAAACATTTTTAAATTATTGAATTGCGCTCTATATATGGTCTCAAATAATTTAAAGGCTTATTATTATATACATATCTGGTATCCTACTTAGTTATTATATTCAATAATGTATTTGAGATTAGTTTAAGTGACATATCAATACAAGTCATTTTTATAAGGGGAAAAATCTCCCACTTTAGGCTCACCATTTTAGCAACTCGCTGGGCTTCGGAAACTCTCTCTTGCAGTACCATCACTTCCTCTTCCTCAGTCTTGTACAAAGGCAGCTGTTTTCCTATAAGATGCTCTATCCTCTGATAAAGTTCGACGTCATACTGTGAAAGTATAAAAAACCTATGAGAGATTTGAGTAAAGCTGGGCTAAAACAGATTTCTTCTTTCATGAGCAGGAACTGAGCTATTTTAAGATAATATTTTTATTCACATAACAGGTACTTTTATGCCAGTGGTTTGGTATGAAAATAAGGGTCTAGCCACCATGCAAGAAATATTGGTTTGGGGTGCAAGACACCTAAATGCATAATGGCCATTTTGTACCGTGTGCAAGCAAGCACATAATTCTTTCACTATCTTACACACAGCAGGGGGATTATGTATTATGTACACCATACCTGTATGTAAACTGTGAACATCACTTTCATATCAGCATATGACTAGTGGAATGATAGTCATATAAGTACATATTTGCTGAAGTGCTGACTTTATGTAAGTAGTTGTCTTATTTTTCTAGAGGCTTTGGGAGGAAAGAAGACCATGTTTCTTTGTATGTACGCAATAAAATGAGCTTTAAGAAGGTAAAACTTGACCTGTCCTTTGTCAAATGTCATACTATGAACACATATAAAGAATTTGAGATTTAGCTCCATACATCCTTAACACTGGCACTGGATGGAAATGAGTGTCAGATTCATGTCCTGGCTACTTTAATCCAGGAAAGGAGCTGCCAGCACCCACTGGATAATAACTAGTTGGGCCCTACAGTCAATACAGATATGGTGGAAAAAGGAACAATCTCTGCCTGTGCTGGGAAACAAACCTGGGTTCTCCAGTTGTCCAGTCTGTAACATTGTTACTATACTCAGTGAAGTAACCAGGCTCTTTCAGTTTTAAAAACATTGAAATAAATCTTTGTTGAATGCAAGAATGTTAAACTTGGTAACTGTATGTGTAAGAATTAATTTAATAAGCTGGCTGGATAAATGACCATAATTAATCTTTTCTGGGGTATGTGACAGTTTTGTTCTCATGGTGGTGACTGACTTGTGGAATTTGAATTTGACACCATGCAATCTGATTAATAAGTACCAGTGTTTCGGAGGAATGTGCTGCCTTCCATCTTCAAATAAAAAAGTAAGCCACACATAGAAATAAGTGGTGCTGATATTGGAACAGAAGAGTAAGCCAAGCATCAAAAAGTGATTCTAAAATTGGAACCACTTTTCCTATGATCAGCTTACTCTTCTACCCTAAAGATGGAAGCAGGTTTTTCTCAGACATTCTGGTACCTTGTTACCATACTGCAGGGCATCACATCCCAAAATACATAGCTTCACTTTCTGGGTCCTTCTGGTAGCAGTAATATGTGCTGTTACACATTCTGTAACTTAGGGTATAAAATTTGTGGATTTGGAAGCTACACTCAAGGAAGAACTTGTATCAGTTTCGAAAATGTAACATCAATGCACGCCAGTAATTTAGTGATAAGTCTGGCAGTCCAGACAGAGTTTAATTACTCCTGACTGATCAGTGCAACTGACAGTAACTTCTTCTGTAAGAGCTTTTCAGAACAAATTTAATTAATTCTTTTTAAGGAATGGGATTGTAGAGCACAAATTAATATGGTATACCCATGTTGTGTTCTATGCATAAGATTGTTCTTCATTTCTTTATTCAAGGATATGGAAGTAAGTGGTCATAGCCAATTTGTTAGCTACTGTTTTATTCCAGTGTTTGTCTGAATAGACTAAGAAAATCAGCCAAGTTCTCCAGCAAAGAAAGCGAATCCTTAGTAAAAATAAGAATGTGACATCCAAAATACAAAGGCAGAGTGCTAACGTCCAGAGTATGATTGCTGATCTATGCAGATAGAATGCCTAAAAATGTAATAAGGCAAAGATTGCAATGGAAGGCATCCTGAGATACAAAAGCACAAAAAGGTGTGTAATTATCAGATAGAAAGATCAGCATTTGCCTCTTATAAGAATATAACAGAAAAACAAACATCAGTAAGTATGGCATATACCTGAGTCACAAATGTGATTGATTTACCAGCTCTACCAGCCCTAGCTGTCCTGCCAACTCGATGGATGTAATCTTTGCTATGTGTTGGAATGTCAAAGTTGATAACAACATCAACATGAGGTATGTCCAAACCCCTGCAACAAGCAAGCAGAACAGCAATTGGATTTGAAAACATGCAATCATCAGCACATAGGAACATGATGCTTATATCAATTTCATCTCTTAAGAATTGTGTATAGCTATTTATTAAAACTGAAACTCATAGCTCTGTTTGGTAACAGTTCCTGAATCAGATGTTTAAAAAATTCCGAGAATTAATATTTCTTGCTGAATTAATATATCTGTGTGACTGTTCATTACTCTAAGGGCTTTATTTTAAATTCAGGTTGAAATTTAGAGGAACAGTAATTTCACCCCCCCCCAAAAAAAAAATCGGCTTCCAAAAGTATGAAGAATACACTTAGGCCAGAATGGATTGTTGTCAGCATAACACTTCCAGGCTTGGCCACTTAGAGAAGACTAGGACTTCTTGACTCCTCAGCTAATGAAGGATAGGTTTTATGAAGACTAGAACATGTACTGATAAATTCCTTAAATACCACATGAAAATTTTGTTAGGAGATTTCAATGCCAAAGTAGGTATGGAAGACATTTTCAAACCAATGATTGGGAACGAGAGTTTGCACGCAATTAGTAATGATATGGAGTTAGAGTGGGGGCACACGGTAGATTAGCTGGTTGAGGGGCTATGTTACAAGCTGGGAGGTCGCAGGTTCAAGTCCTGATGAGGTCACTGGATTTTTTCAGTTGACCTAATCCTTCCAGCTGCACTAGGCCCTGGGGTTTACTCAGCCTCTAACAGAAATGAGTACCAGGAATTAATTAAATAATTTTCCTGGCGAGTAAAGCGCGGCCAGCGCATAAGGCTGACAACCTTACTGCCATCTTTGAGTTGATAGTCTAGATAGTGTGGGACCCTCAACGTCTGACAACCCTATGGGCCTTCACGGCCTGGTACAGGGATAGACTTACTTTACTCTTATGGAGTTAGAGTTGTAAACTTTGCCACATCTAAAAATCTTATTGTCAAAAGTACAATGTTCCCACATCTCCTGATGGAAAGACACACAACCAAACTGACCATATTTTGATAGACAGGAAAGAGCATTCAAGTATACTTGATATCCAATCTTTGAGGGCAACAGATTGTGATCCTGACCACTATCTGGTAGTGGCAAAAGTCGGGAAGAGACTGGCAGTGAACAAACAAACAATGCACAGGGTTCATACAAAGAGACTGAACTTCAAATAAGTTCACAGCATTGGAAATCTTAAGACACTGAGGTGGATATTAATAGAGCTTGGGAAACTATTAGAGAGAATATAAAAATTTCAGCCAAAGAGAGGTTATTATAAACTGAAGAAGCATAAACCATTGTTCAATGAAGGATGCTCAAAATTATTACATCAAAGTAAACAAGTCAAACTGAAGTGGTTACAGGAGCCAAGAGAAATAAACAGGGGTAATCTGAACAATGTAAGACATATTTCACCTGAAAGGCAGAATTGATGAGCTTGCAACAAACAGTAAGAACAAGAACATTAGAGACCTGTATAGAGGAATAAATGACTTTAAGAGGGGTTACCTACATAGAAGTAACTTAGTGAAGGATAAAAATGGTGACCTGCTTGCAGATTCCCGCAACATTTTGAATAGGTGGAGGAACTACTTCACTCAGTTATTGAATGTACATAGGATCAGTGATGTTAGGCAGACAGAAATACATACAGCTGAGTCATTAGTACCTGATCCTAGCCCTTTTGAGGTAGAAATTGCTATTGCAAATTTGAGAAGGTATAAATTGCCAGGCAGTGATCAAATTCTGACAGAAATGATCCAAGCAAGAGGTGAAATGTCATTTTCTAAGATCCATAAGCTAATTAGTTCTGCTTGGAATAAGGAAAAATTGCCTGATCAATGTAAAGGGTCTATTACTGTACCAGTTCACAAAAAGGGTGATAAAATTGACTGTAGAAATTATCGTGGGATATCACTGCTGTCAACTTCATACAAAATTTTATCCAATATTTTCAAGGTTAATCCATATATAGATGAAATTATTGGGGATCATCAGTGTTGGTTTTGATGTAACAGACAGACTAATGATCAGATCTTTAGCATTCATCAGATACTGGAGAAAACTGAGAATACAATGGAAGTGTACATCAGTTATTGGTATACTTAAAGAAGGCCTATGATTCAGTTAGGAAGGAAGTATTGTACAATATTCTGAATAGAGTTCAGGGTATCCATGAAACTATTTAGGCTGATTAAAATAATGTTTAAGCAAAATGTATAGTAAAGTCCATATAGTTAAATAATTGTCTGATAATTTTCATATCCAGAATGGTCTAAAACAATGAGATGCTTTATCGCCACTGCTTTTCAACTTTGCTTTAGACTATGTCATTAGGAAGGTCCAGGAGAACCATGTGGAACTGAAATTAAATGGGACACATCAGCTGTTGGTGTATGCTGATGATGTGAATCTCCTGGGTAATAAAGATACCATACATAAAAACACACACTTTAATTGGCACTAGTAAGGGCACAGCCCTTTTGGGGCCATAGCTTTCCTTAGTAGATTCTGCTAGATTTAATCATTCCTGGGAATTAGACCATCCAGTTTTCACTTCTCTCGATTTCACAATAATTTTTTACGGAGCAAGGTCATCAGCCTTGTGCCAAGCCCCCAACCTGGAAAATCAGGTCTCTCTATTTATGTCCCCCAGTGACACCCCCAGGCACTGGTTTCCCCTTTCGTCACCTTAAATGACTTGAAGGGCTATGGTGGAGGTATTCTAACCTGCCCCCATATGAAGAGTCTCATTCTGTACTGTGACATTATGCGTTACTCAAAGCAAACTGAACAGAGATGCATTTACTAGAACATGGATTCTTAGGTACAATACACATCAACAACAGAGCTTTCATCCAAAGTACAAACCTATTTCTTATTCATTATAGAGGGAGCACGTGCACCTCTTCATTAAGAAGCTTCACAGTTTGCATAAAATATCGTCCATTGTCCTTTGTTCATATTTCTGCAGATTCACAATCTACTAAGTGTTCTAATATTTTTGAACTGTCACACAAGCACATCTTCATGCATGGAACATGTGCACACAAACATAAAATGATTTATGGCTTCAGATTTATATCGGTGCAGCTCACCTACTAGCTACATCAGTGGAGATAAGAATAGATCTATCCTTTGCTTTGAACTTTGTGAGTGCTCCTAGGCGTTTGTTCTGTGACATTTGACCATGGAGAGGAACAGCTGTGAAGCCCAAGCTGCGCAGCATTAATGCTGTTCTGACCGTGTTGCTGCAAGTTGAGCAGAAGATCATAAAGGAATTTCCAGCCATCTCATTCAAAATGTGAACCAAATATACATCCTGAAAAAATTGACATAATTTTAAACAATCAATAATGACTTCAACACATATTTTACCCATTCCACATGCAGTTTAGAGATAGCTACTAACTGAAAGTAAGTCTGATATCCTGTGTAATGAACTCTTTTTCTACATTAGGTTCAAAGTATATAATAAATAACAAAGGCTGTTATTTGACAATTTCATGGGTCCTCAGAATTATTTACCATGGGCAGTTTAATCTGTACAATTGAACTCTGGATAAGAATATGAAAGTCTGTGAATAATTATGGTACTACCACAACTTTCTTACCTTAAACTTGAGTGGAATAAAGATGTAATACTGTTGCAGTTTTTCAACTGTCTGATACTTTGTGGAAACTTCCACTTTAACTGGATTTTTCAATGAAGCCCTCTGCAATTTCTGTACTTTTTTAGTCATCGTTGCAGAGAACAGGAAAGTCCGACGTTCCCGCGGAATTACTTTCAGTATCTTATCTACTTCTACTTCAAAGTCCATGTTCAGAATGCGGTCTGCTTCATCCATAACCTTGAAAATGACAAGGGAATCTAACAAGCTGTACTTTAGATGAGCTTAAAACAGAGAAGCAATGGTTTACATACAAAGGTATAAAATGAGAAAATATGAAACTCCTCTTTACTTCACTTAATTACTGTTGTCACTCATCACTTCATCACATAAAATTTTGAAGCCTGAAAAAGATTTCACAGAACGGATAAGGGCTAATAAATATTACATGTAGAGGGCAGAGCATATACCTTAATATCTGGATAAAAACATTAAAAGACCCCAGCTTTAACTTCATTTATTTCAAACATTACTAATGTGTATAAATTGTACCAGAAATTTGAGAGCACGAAGATTGAATCCTTTTGTGTTTTCCAAATGATCCACTAGTCGACCTGGTGTAGCAATTAGAATATGAGGCTTCTTGGCAAGTGTTAATGCCTGTGACATCATATCCATCCCTCCAACAATTACAGCACATTTCACACCAATACTTGATCCTGAAAAATGTGTTAAATAATGTACAAATATGTATTACCTAATGTAATTTATAACTGATAATCCTAATTCCTTTGAATTGAATTGAATTGAATTGAATTTATTTACATTCTATAAATCCTAAGCAGGTTAGTACCTTTGGATACAGAACAAGTCAAAAGGTTACATACATAAGTATGGGCAATTTTAGCTTAAAAATTAATATAACTTAATTTTACATCATTCTCTATTTACATTGAAGTATTCATCTAAAGAGTAGAAGGAATGAGCATGCAGATAATTCTTTAACTCTGATTTAAACTTTTTAGTATCATTGCCCAAGTTTTTAATACTTTGTGGCAGATTGTTGAACACTTTTATGCCAGTAAAGTAGACTCCTTTTTGATATACTGATAAAGTTGATGAGGGTAGGTGGAAGTTATATTTTTGTCTAGTATTCATGTTATAGACATCAGAATTTAATTTGAATTTATCTTTGTTGTAAACAACAAATAAGAGAAGCGATAATATGTATTGCGATTGAAGAGGTAGAATTTTTAATTTCTTAAATAATTCTCTACATGAATCTCTACTTCTACATCCTGTAATGATTCTAATTATATTCTTTTGTATTTTAAAAATTATTACACTATGTGAAGAGTTGACATTATTGACCCCCAGTAAGTACAGACCACAAGCTTCTTTATGGGCAAGCTAATCTATTGAGTGGAGAACAGAGAATAGCACACAAAACATAAAACCATCCCTGTCATTTCATGACATGACCAACAGATGGTCAAGAAACAAAAATCAACTTACAACTTACAAAATTGGATATATTGTTATTGTTATTGTTGTTGTTGTTGTTATTGTTATTATTATTATTATTATTATTATTAAAGATATGTTTAAGAACAGGTACAAATATATCAGTATAACCCTTAATAATGAATTCAGGGATGTCATCGACTCCAACAGATTTAGATGGAGTGCCTGAAATCATCTAATTCCTTACAATCACTTACACTCTGTCAGATACATTTTCTAGATTAGAACAGCTGTTAAAATGAGAACAATGAATTTTTTTTATTATTATTATTATTATTAACACTACTTCCCATTTGTCTCAGCTTCAGTTATGTCAACTTCAATATAAAACAACTTCAGTAGGATTAAGGATTTATATAAACTGAATGAAAGGGGACAAAATTAAATTATTCTTCACCTTCAGGACCTAGGTGTGCTTGAGAAAAAACATACAGTACTATATGCCCACTTTGAGATGACATGGAGTTTGTAGTTATGCTCTGATGGGAGTGATGGACGGCAACAGAGGTGACATATACAAAGGAAGATGATATGGTGTGTGTGTGTGTGTGTGTGTGTATATATATATATATATATATAGTTTTCTGAGAAAAGAGAACACAATAATAGACGTTAAAGTGATTATACATATCTTACCTAGTGCTTCAAATTATTCTGAAATTTGGAATGCTAATTCCCTAGTTGGAGTCAGAATTAAAGCAAAGTAACGCTGAGGATTCTCCAATAATGCCTGTAATATTGGAAGTGCAAATGCTCCTGTCTTTCCAGATCCAGTTTCTGCCAGACCTATTACATCTTTGCCTGAAAAAAAGAAAGTATCATTTACATGATTACAAGAAAAGTGTGATGATTAAAGTTAATTCTGATGTATTAACAGCAACAACAGCAAAAGGCCAAGCCATAGCTCAAGTGGTTAGTCGCTGGCTTCCCACCGTGATGACCTGGGTTCGAAAGCAGGTCTGGTCATGTGGGATTTGAGGTGGACAAAGTGGTGCGGGGGCAGGTTGTCTCCAAGTACTTCGGTTTCCCCTGCCAATCTTCATTCCACCAACTGCTCCACAATCACCATTATCTATTACGTGGGGCAGGTACAATAGGCCAGAAGTGGCCACAGTACCAAATGGACTTAGTCCCACCCTACTAAAAAAATAACAGTAAAATCTGAGGGGTTTAACATAAGACGAAAATATATACCTGCCTCTGCTACAATTTCAAAGAGCACAATACTGTACCTTGTAAGGCAATTGGAATTGCCTCCTTTTGGATTTTTGAAGGTGACTTCCATTTTAACTGTTCACAAGCTTCACATAAAACGTCTACGACTCCCTTTGGAAGAGAAATAATACGGTTAACACACTGAAAATAACCTTATACGTAGCATGAATGAGCCTCATAACCTCTACGAACCTTTTGTGCGCGCATTACATTTACATTAAATCCGATAAACAATTGTTACAAATAATGCATAAAATAGATGTATCCTACTTACTATATCTCGAAATGAAACATCTTTTCCTTCGTCTGCAGCTGATATTTCAGCTTCGTTTATCTCCGTCCTTTGACCATTTTCAATTTCGGACTCCATGACACCTTCGGACAAACCGTAAGCACCTTCGTTCTCTGGCCGACACTAGCACTGTCGAGTATTCACCTGAATGTCCTTGACGTTAAAACATTACTTATTCGCGTTTACATGAAATACGTATTTAATCAGTACAGTTTTCCCCCACACTCACAATGCTCACAATGCTGTCTCGATAGGTCTACTTTACATTTAAAGAAATTGAAAGAACTTTTATCAGAGATTTAAGACTTTGAAGCAGTTTAGTTATTAAATATTACGTTCATAAATGCAGTTCCTGTAGGTCACGGTAGCCGAGAGGTCTAAGGCAAGCACTGAGGACGAAGAGGAAAGCCCTGTTCACGATGACAACGAAAAATATTCAGAAAGTTATTTTGCGTTGAGGAGAGAACAGCAACAGCTGCGATTCCAAGAACGCGGGGTGCATATCATGCGGCCTATAATGGAAGAAGGTGAGGATGTGGAGGAAGAAGAGGAAGAAGTTGAAGACGAACAAGAAGATGACGCCAAGTTGCATGATCAGCTGAATTCATTGAGGACAGAGGAGGACGAAGAGGAAAGCCCTGTTCACGATGACAACGAAAAATATTCAGAAAGTTATTTTGCGTTGAGGAGAGAACAGCAACAGCTGCGATTCCAAGAACGCGGGGTGCATATCATGCGGCCTATAATGGAAGAAGGTGAGGATGTGGAGGAAGAAGAGGAAGAAGTTGAAGACGAACAAGAAGATGACGCCAAGTTGCATGATCAGCTGAATTCATTGAGGACAGAGGAGGACGAAGAGGAAAGCCCTGTTCACGATGACAACGAAAAATATTCAGAAAGTTATTTTGCGTTGAGGAGAGAACAGCAACAGCTGCGATTCCAAGAACGCGGGGTGCATATCATGCGGCCTATAATGGAAGAAGGTGAGGATGAGGAGGAAGAAGACGAAAAAGAAGATGAAGCCAAGTTGCATGATCAGCTGAATTCATTGAGGACAGAGGAGGACGAAGAGGAAAGCCCTGTTCACGATGACAACGATAAATATTCAGAAAGTTATTTTACGTTGAGGGGGGAACAGCAACAGCTGCGATCCCAAGAACGTGGGGTGCATATCATGAGGCCTATAATGGAAGAAGGTGAGGATGAGGAGGACGAAGATGAAGTTAAAGACGAACACGAAGATGATGCCAAGTTGCATGATCAGCTGAATTCAGTGAGGAGAGTGGAGGTGGAAGAGGAACAACCACCTCACTTTCAGAATGAGGGGGATTCATCGAGGAATTTGAAGGTGAGGGCGAATGACCACTCCCTTACATTCCAACAGACAGAAATGCCGATAATAATGGAAGACGAACAAGATGCACATCCTCAGGATGAGGTGGATCCTATGAAGATTAAGGCGGACAGCTTGCCTTTGACTATTACGAAAGAGATAGTAGGCCATCAGGCAACCATGGAGTCTCCTGTCGAGATGAGGGGAAGACGGGAAAACCTAATTGCAGCTTCGAAACCTACAGTCGAAAAGAAGAAGGAACTTCCAGTGAAGAAGACGGGGTTGGGTTTGGTGCAACCTCCAAATCTCAAGGCAAGGACAGCCAAGGCCGTGTCTCAGAGCAGCCCACACAACAGGCCTGGACGGAGTAATGTGAAGATATATAGCAAGAAGATGGACTATAGCAAGGTAAAGGCCAAGGTTGACACCTGGCGGAAGTAGCCGGCGACAGAATTAAAGGGCACTGCAAACCCGCCTGGCACGGAGCGTGACTAGCTGTGATTCTGTAGTCAAATCAAGACCGAATGAAAGCCATCTTGTACCGTACCGAGGTGGTATCAGCAGGCCAGTTAGTGTGGAGTTAGTTAGAGGACTGCTACCGTTCAGTCATTGTGACCTGTTGCTATGTGAAGCTGGTAGCTCAGGCCGTGAACCGATTGGGAACCTCCACGGTTTGTATAACAACACGGCGTGCCTCGAACATACGACACTAAAGGATCCTGTTCTCCAAACAACAGAACCAGAAGGTAGCAGAGAAAAATAAAAGGACACAAAACAATTTGTTTTAAAAACTTTAACAAAATCTTCTTAAATATATTAATTGTAATTTATAAATATTTGAACGTATTATTATTATTTGTTAAAACACTTGATTTTGTAATCATTGTATTATAACATTTTGTGTTTATAATAATATTCAGAAAATATATTGTAACAGTGCTTTCTGATTGTACTGATATCCTTCTAGCACTAGCCACTCAGTTCGGTAAAGCGATTAAACCCGTCTAAATGAAGCAAGCAGTTGGAAGCAGTAGGTTTCTTCAAAATGGTGGTTCCTATCTAGGAAATTACACGGCGTCACATTCCAGAAAAACGTAATCTGAAGCTGATATATTACGAGTACCATCTTCTGGAATTTAGCGCTGTGTAGTTCGGTTTAATCCTATTGATGTTTGTTACGAATTGGTTGCTACGGGGGTGGGGGATCCTAATGAGCCGGGTAGGCCATTACTGCCCTTCTCAGTTTACACATAATACAGTTGCGTTTATTGCTGGTATAATATAAATAAAATACAGTGGACCTAGTGGAAGGTCCTCACTACCCCCGTCCACTCCGGAGGGGCCCAAACTCCGTTCCGCCGTATCCTTTTGATTTGGTGGAAGTTAATTTGGCAAGGTAGGGGCCTCTCCCTACCTGAGTGGGGTCAGACAGCTCGGTAAGCCCGTATTCCGTTACTTACCGCCCTTTTGGCCCAAGTTCGAAACCCCCCCCCCTTTCTTTCCTCCAAGGTAGGGCCCTTCGGGGCCGGCCGACTGCTCCTGCGGTTCCTTGTACTCCGGCGTCGTGCCTCCCCTACCTCCCTCTCCAATGTCTCGTTACCCACTGCCTCCTCTGGCTACCGCAACCCGTCCCATCCTGCTAGCCCCCCACTTTCCACAGGCGGTAGGGGGTGGGCCGCGGATACAGGGCTGCCTAGCGTCTCCCAAGGCAGTGTTGCCAGATCCCCGAGGCTTTCTCAACGAAGTTTCGGCCGGAGCGTCGGGCCCGTAACATGTTTCGGAGGAACGTGCTGCTTCAGTTCTTGAAGTTGATGAGTAAGTGAAACAATGGATCTTCATGATGCTAGCCCGCGATATCTGATCTCACTCAGTATCACTGAACATTATTGACAAGTGTGCATCTGGAGCGATTTTACATTCAAGTAACTCGACATGTTTTTTAACATGATACGAGAATATGAAAGTGAAGCCGGTAACCATTTTACCGTAGGGCCGCGCCAGAGCTCAAGCGGTTATTAGCTGGCTTCCCACCGTGGGGGCCCGGGTTCGATCCCGGGTCTGGTCACGTGAGATTTGTGGTGGACATAGTGGCGCTGGGGCAGGTTTTCGCCGAGTACTTCGGTTTCCCCTGCTAATCTTCATTCCACCAATTGCTCCAGAATCACCCTCACCTATCATCTGGGGCTGGTACAATAGGCCAGAAGTGGCCGCAGAACGAGGGACTTGGTCCCACCACACTAGCAATAAAAAGAAGAAAAAAACATTTTACCGTAGTGCGTCACCACTACTTCATGTCTTGAGTTCGATACCCGCCCCTAACGCTGACTACCATTATTTAATCTGATATTGACCACTGAAGAGATGCATTTTACTTCGTACATCATCATATACGGGGGCATGCGGTAGTGCAGTTGGTTGAAGCAGTGTGCTACAAGCTGGTAGGTCACAGTTTCAGATCCCAATGTCATTGGATTTTTCAACTGACCTAATACTTCCAGCCGCACTATGGCCCTGAGGTTGACTCAGCCTCTTAACAGAAATGAGTACCAGAAATTTTCCTGGGGGTTAAAGGCTGCAGACACATAAGGCTGACAATCTCAACGCCAGGCATTGCACCAGCAGGAGACTATACAGTTTTCTATGGAAAGAGGAATGACAATCAGGAATTAGGTACAGGTTTTTTCGCACATAACAGAATCGTATAAGCAGTTAAGAGGGTAGAATTCATTAGTGATAGGATATCATATATAAAACTAAAAGGTCACTGGTGTGATATCATTGTTACGAATGTTCATGCCCCAACAGAAGATAAAATTTATGATATAAAGGATATATTCTATGAAGAACTAGCACATGTATTTGATAAATTCCCGTAGTACCCTATGACATACCCATACAGCTCTGGAACCAACTACCTGCAGATGCTTTAGGTACTCTGTCTTGTAAACCAAGCAATTTTAGGCAAAGGGTTAGGAAAGTGATAAATGAGGTGAAGTGAAGTTGGGGTGGAAATAATTAAAAAGAAAAAAAAAATTGCAGTGAAGTGAAGTGAATGACATTACGCATCCATGACTGTTGGTTTCCTTTTGTTTGTGTTTTGGGTGTTGTATTTTTTTCTCTCTCTCTGTAATTGTTGCTGTATTTGTTGCAGTGGTTTGTCTTTCTCTGTAATTGTTGTAGTTGTTANTTCACTGTGGTAGGATGTCCTTATTGTTGTGTTTTGTGTGTTGTGTTTTGTTTGAACGTGTTGTCACGTAGTGTAATGTGTGTTACTTGTCTGTTGTGTCCTATTGTGTACTACTGCCACCGGGCTAAACCCAATTGCAGTATAATAAATAATATATATATATCATATAAAATTTTGTTAGGAGATTTCAATGCCAAATTAGGGAGGGAAGACATTTTCAAACCAACAATTGGGAATGAGAGTTTGCAAGAAATTAGTAATGATTAGGGACTGGATTTATATGCCCTAATAATCCCTTAAATATATGCATTTATGCATGAAATACTTCCAAAATATGCACATAAAAACATACACCAAATATTAAAATTGATTTTACATTATTTTAAGACCAAAAAATCAATACTTAAGATCATTTTATGAATGATTCACCTGTAACAAAAAGCTATACTTAAATGCAAACCATGCAACAAAGCCAACATATTTCATTACAAATGTAGAAAACCAATGGTACTCACATTTAGCTCTCCGAATTTTCAACTTCTCTTCTGTTGCAGTTCAAAATTACTAAATGTTTTAGGTTCTCCATAGTTAGTCACCTCCTATTGTTTCGTAAGCTGTCCTTATAGCGGGAAAAACTTCTTTCCACTTCACAGGAACTTAGGGGCACATGTAAAAAGCCGCTATTTGCTCCACGTTTAGTGATTTTTTACTTGGCTGTTCAGTACGTTTACCTGCTAAAATTTCTTCTCTTTCACAAATATGTTCATATCCTGGATTTTTTTTAAAAAATGATGTGTACTTTTTCCTTTACTACTTCACCAACCCTTCCAGGAACAGAATTCAATCTGGAAACAGTTATTTTGAACACACTTAACGACTGATACAAAGTAGTATTGTTATTGCTTGACTCCAGTGAGGAAATGGCAGATGGAAGATGAGAGAAGTGAGCATATAATAGGAAAGATTAGTTTCTAAATCTGCGTTTTTTAGTACATCTTGGGCAATTTGAATTGATGCTGCACTTTTGGGATCAGATGTATTCACGACATTCCTGTTTCTAAATGTTTGGTATAATAATTAGCTGTACACAGCCACATGCCCCAGTGCGTTAAAATTGCTTTTGGCAGAAGTGGAACTCTCGGTGCTACTGCTGTAAAGGTTTCTTTTCTGTATGGCTCTTTAACAAATACCTTCTTCACAGAAGAAACCAACTTGTCAACAAGCGGAACATTTGCACGAATTGTTTCTGCAACACAGTGCAACCCATGGGCAAGGCAAGTCAAATGTGTCATATTTGGAAATATAACTTTAAGAGCAATACCGGCTTTGATCACATAACTTGCGACATCAGTCACAGAGAGCAATACGCGCTCATACTGAATGCCATTTGGCCATAGTAAATTCATGGAATTGTTAAAAAATTCGGAAACTGCGGAGCTATTTGTGGTTTCAAATTGCTCTACCACAAAAAGGTATGGGGTAGATTGTTCATTCTTATTATGGGATCAAACTATACAATTTACAATAAACCGTCTCTCACAATCTTGTGTTTCATCAATTGATACCAACACAAATTTATCTTGAACCTTATCTCTAATGCTTTCAATTGTAAGATTGTAACACTGCTTCACGTAATTTTTGTGCGCAGTAGATTCATCCCGCACTTTGCTCTGTGTATGCTTCTCTGTGAAGTTTCTCAGAGTAGGACTGGTTAGTTTCCACATCGGAAGATCTGCTGCTAAAAAGGCTTCGCATAAATCAAAGGAAAAATGTGAAAAAATATTATTAGAAAATTCACAAAGCAATTTTTTCACAGGAGCACTTTTCGTGGATTTAATTTTAACATTCTCTTTGTGTATATTAGTGTTCAAATGCTGAAGCACTTGAAAGCATTTTTCACAACCGTTTTCTCACACGATCGGCAATAAAGAATTTCATTATCCGTACTTATCATCTCTCCTTCAAACTCCCTCTGATACAGCTGTAATTTAGTTTTCTGACTTACCTTCACTTTCGGCATGACTACAGAAAGCTAAAAAAACTTAACTACAGGCTAGTCACCATTAATGTGAATGGCCCCCAGCTTCAAACAAAGATGCGTAATGAACCTCCTGAAGACTTTGAAAATAAATAAGTGAAGTCCCTTATTGGTTGAATAGTATTACGTTGATAGCAGCTACATGTGAAGACTTCCGACTAATCTCTTCGAGGCTAATTTGATGGTACGCGGATGAGGCAAGTTACGAGTAGAGGGATCGAGGAATTCCCGTCCTGGGTATTGCATCAGAAACATGAATCATGACAAAATGTTAAGTCAAATATGCAACATATTCTAATACGGAACATAAAGATTGTATACACACAACCATGATTGAAAATTTGAACATAAAACTAAAAAATATATATGATAAACTTTTCAAAAAGGAAATATGCAGTATAAATAGAGATCTTCAAAAATATGCTTATTCATAAAACAGGCAAAATATGAATTTATATGCACCATCAAACCATGTCCAAAATTTAAGAAATGAAGTAATTCATACATACAGCATGTCCCAGGAGGAATGGACCAAACTTCGGGAGGGTGTTCCTTATGTTAAAGTATGCCGATATAACCCAAAACACCTATGTCCAAAGTTGAACGGTTATGGAGATAATGGCCCGAGAAAAGTGTGGTCTTCTGGCGGGTCCGCGCACTGTACCTGTCAGCTGAGAGGCCTTATCTGTTTGTCCTTGAGTGTGATGATTCACCCTAGCCATGCTTATGTAGTTGGCTCATACCAGAACGCGCAGTCAGCACGTTACGTCAGCGCTTGCCATTCATGTGTCATGTATAGTGCTTGGAAACCCTAAGGACAATTATGACATGGCGAGCGAGTATTTTGTACTTCAATTTTATGGCTTCATATCACTCACAAGTTAGTTTGATGTCACGTACATTACTAACATTACAGAATCCACATATTCCTGCCAGTTTTAATATGTATTTTGTAATCAACAAGTGTGCAACGCCTCTCAAAGTTTTACACTTCTCTGGCCATTATCTCCGTAACCGTTCAACTTTGGACATAGGTGTTTTGGGTTATATTGGCATACTTTAACATAAGGAACACCCTCCCGAAGTTTGGTCCATTCCTCCTGGGACACCCTGTATATCTAAACGAGCATACTTTCTGGTAGAAAGAAATATGCATTTGCATTAAAATCCGGTCCCTAATCATAACACACTATTTTACCGTACTAGCACCCTCGGCAATCACTTGTTACATTATTTCTCTTATCCTATCCTAAATCTCGCTGAGCACACTGGACATTGCTTTTTCAACATTTAACAAATAATTTACCAACAACCATAAAGTTTAACAGCATGGATAGTATGAGCAAACATGACTTACTTGATATAGAGACGCAGCGACACCACCACTTGTAGTACCCGTCGGACAGAGCCTTCGTCTAATTGTTATGTTTTTAGATCTGAGTTCCATTGAGTTTTTTTTCCTTCTCATTTTTATACACTAATTTTGCTGTCACTGCAGTTGGCGAAAGGAGGAGGTTAACTACTCACCTTGTTCTACATTTCGGGGTGGAGGGTTCCATTGGCTAACCCCCTTGGTGGTGGGCAGGTCCGTGGTACCTCATCGCTGCGTATTTGATAAATTCATTATACTCCCAGTTAGGGGAGCTTCCTACTTATGCAATTACGCATAAATGCTATCACCAACATTCTTAACCTAGATCACTTGTCCAGGTGTTGTCATCCTCGCGCTAATTGCTATAAAATGCTTTCGCAAGTCTCGTAACGTTTAGGCAATGACTTTTGATTTTCAGTCTCGAAATTGCGGATCAACATGCGTCACCACCACTTCATGTCTTGAGTTCGATACCCGCCCCTAACGCTGGCTACCATTATTTAATCTGATACTGATCACTGAAGAGATGCATTTTACTTTGTACAACACCATATATGGGGGCATGCGGTAGTGCAGTTGGTTGAGGCAGTATGCTACAAGCTGGTAGGTCACAGTTTCGATTCCGGATGTCATTGGATTTTTCAACTGACCTAATACTTCCAATCGCACTATGGCCCTGAGGTCGACTCAGCCTCTAACAGAAATGAGTACCGGAAATCTTCCTGGGGGTTAAAGGCTGCAGACACATAAGGCTGACAATCTCAACGCCAGGCATCACACCAGCAGGCGACTATACATTTTTCTATGGAAAGGGGAATGAGAATCATGAATTAGGTACAGGTACAGGTACATAAAGGAATCGTATCAGCAGTTAAGAGGGTAGAATTCATTAGTGATAGGATATTGTATAAAAAGGTCACTGGTGTGATATCATTGTTATGAATGTTCACGCCGCAACAGATGATAAAATTGATGACATAAAGGATAGATTCTATGAAGAACTAGAACATGTATTTGATAAATTCCCGAAGTACCCTATGAAAATTTTGTTAGGAGATTTTAATGCCAAAGTAGGGAGGGAAGACATTTTCAAACCCACAATTGGGAATGAGTGTTTGCAAGAAATTAGTGATAATAATGGAGTTAAAGAGTAGTAACCTCTCCATATGAACTCTGTGTGTTGTCTGTTTGCTCACTGCCAGTCTTTCCCTAAACTTTTCCACCACCAGGTAGTAGTCAGTATCACAATCTGCTGCCCTGAATGATCAGACATCAAGTATACTTGAGTGCCACCTCCTACACAATCAAATAGAACAAATTTTGATAGGTAGGAGACGGCACTCAAGTATACTTGATGTCCGATCATTCAGGGCAGCAGATTGTGATACTGACTACTACCTGGTGGTGGAAAAGATTAGGGAAAGACTGGCAGTGAGCAAACAAACAACACACAGAGTTCACATGGAGAGGTTCAATCTCAAATGAGGTAGAGGGTAAAGAACAAGAACATTAGAGACCTGTATATAGGAATGACTTTAAAGGGGGTTACCAGCCTAGCAGTAACTTTGTGAAGCATGAGAATGGTGATCTGCTTGCAGATTCCCACAACATTTTGAATACGTGGAGGAACTACTTCTCTGTTATTGAATGTACATAGGGTCAGTGATGTTAGGCAGACAGAAATCGATATAGCTGAGCCGTTAATACCCGATCCTAGCCCTTTTGATGCTGAAAGTGCTATTGCAAAATTGAAACGGTATAAATCGCCAGGTAGTGATCAAATTCCAGCAGAACTTATTCTAGCAGGAAGTGAAATATTACGTTCTAAGATCCACAATGTAATTACTTCTATCTGGCATAAGGATCAATTGCCTGATCAGTGGAAGTAGTCTATTATTGTACTAGTTCACAAGAAGGGTGATAAAACCGACTGTAGTAATTATCGGGGGATATCACTGCTATCAACTTCATATAAAATTTTGTTCAATATTCTTCTTTCAAGGTTAAGTCCATATACAGATAAAATTATTGGGGATCACCAGTGTGGGGTTTGACGTAACAGATAAACTACAGATCAGATCTTTTGCATTCGTCAGATATTGGAGAAAAAATGGGAGTACGATGAGACAGTACATCAGCTATTCATAGACTTCAAGAAAGCCTATGATTCACTTAGGAGGGAATTATTGTACAATACTCGTATTCTGATAGAGTTTGGCATACCCATGAACTAGATACGTTGATTACAATTCGTTTAAACGAAACGTATAGTAAAATCCGTGTAGGTAAACATTTGTCTGATAAATTTCATATCCAGAATGGTCTAAAACAAGGAGATGCTTTATCACCACTCCTTTTCAACTTTGCCTTAGAATATGCAATTAGGAAGGTCCAGGGAAGCCAGGTGGGACTGAAATTAAATGGGACACGTCAGCTGTTGGTCTATGCTGATGATGTGAATCTACTGGGAGATAATGCAGATACCATAAAGAAAAACACACAAACTTTAATTGACACAAGTAAAGAGGCTGGACTAGAAGAAAACACAGAGAAAGCTAAGTATATGTTACTGTCTCATCACCAAAATGCATGGCAAAATCATGACATAAAGATAGGAAACTGACGTTTTGAAAATGTGGCACAGTTCAGATATTTGAGAACAAAGATAAGAGATCAAAACCTGATTCAGGAGGAAATTAAGAGGAGATTGAAATCAGGTAATGCTTGCTACCATTCAGTCCAGAACCTTTTGTCTCGTCTGTTGTCCAAAAACATAAAAATTAGAATTTACAAAACTATAATTTTGCCTGTGGTTCCGTATAGGTGTGAAACTTGGTCTCTGACATTAAGGGAGGAATATAAACTGAGGGTGTTTGAAAACAGGATGCTGAGAAAATTTGGACTGAAGAGGGATGAAGTGACAGGAGGTTGGAGAAAACTGCATAATGAGGAGCTTCATAACTTGTACTCCTCTCCAAGTATAATTAGAATGATCAAGTCAAGGAGGATGAGGTGGGCAGGTCATGTAGCACGAATGGGGGCGATGAGGAATGCGTATAGGATATCGGTGGCAAAGCGTGAATAAAAGAGACCACAGGGAAGACCAAGGCATAGGTGGGTGGACAATATTAGAATGGATCTTACAGGGATAGGATGGCATAGTATGGATTCGACAGATCTGGCTCAGGATAGGGACCAGTGGAGGGCTCTTGTGAACACGGTGATGAACCTTTGGGTTCCATAAAATGCTGGGAAATTCTTGAGTAGCTGCAGAATTGGCAGCTCCTCAAGAAGGGCTCACCTCCATGAGTAAGAAAGTATATATATTTAACATTTATTCTTGAGAAGAAACTTGTTGTGAATTTTAAAGTGTAATGCACCACCACTTCTGAAATGATCATAAAATTAATTTTGTAATTCACCAAATCATTTACAATTTTCAAGCAACATACCATTCGTGACAAGTCGTCTCTTTTGTAGAAGTGTCAGAAACCTGTTGTTAAATTACTGGGTCTCAGTCCCTCAGACCCCACACAGAGAGACCTATCAACTGGCAAGGGGGGGTCAAGTATGCCACCCCGCCACGCATTCCTGAAGAGGAAACAAAACTGAAGAATAAAGGGAATGTACCAAACATTATTAAAAATTAAAATTATACAAAACCATTCTTCTATGCTGATTACTCTAGGGCGACCCAGTGCTGTTTCAGCGTAAACTTGTAAGAAACGTTTCTGCCCCCCCCCCAAAACAGTGGGCTCATGTTCAGCCCTTTCTGAGCCAAGATATTAGGAAGACTCTTTCTCCTTTCCTCCTGTTTGTTTGCTTCACGATTCTTTATGAAGATTCTGACCCGACAGTTGTGCACTCCTGGCTTGAAAGCGATAACATCTCTCAGACGAAATAACTGAAATTACAGCAGAAGATTTGATATGCCACATCTGTTTCACCGTCCTTTGGTCACGTTGCATTCCCAGCTCCCACTCGGTTCTGTCTGTGTCTCTGGCAGGCAACTTTCCCGTGGTCCTTGGTGCTTTGCCATGGGGATGTAAACGTGTTGGGTGGATCCCTCCCTCTCAAAATGGCAGAACAAGACGTTTTTAGTCCCGCGGTTTGTGAGAATAATGAATTATGCTTTCCAAGGACCGTTGCCTGGCTAATGTCCAGCAGTAGGGGTGTGACTTCCTATGTGCAGAGAGACGATGGCACTGTTCCAAAGGTTAATGGTGTTAAATGCTAGCACAGTTGATCTTTCACCTCCATCCCAGTGACATTAAGAATGCCATCGAGTCCTTTTACATTACAATATTACATTTCAGCAAATACAGGGTGTATCGATTTGGTGGCTGTAAAAAGTGCGGTTTGTTTCGTCTCAATCATTCCTTTCCTCTAGGCACCTGTAACAGCAAACAGCGGTAATTATACTATGCACCACCGACTTTAACATTAAAATCTATGATTTTTTGTGTTCCGTATGAATCTCACAATAAATAGCGACTTTCACAGCTGAAAAATATATTAATTTCAGAAACATCCATAAGAAATTCATCTTCAATTTCACCGTAAGGAAAAAATTCTTTGGACAGCACCCAATGTGTTCAGTATGTGCTTTCTATTTAATCGGTATTAGGGCCTTGAGTGGTGCTGCCACCTAATGCAGACATCCTTGTCAGCCCGACAGGAGCTTGTGACATCTGTTGCATCTCCTACTAACTGCTCTAACACGGATCCCATATAACAAGGGACTCGCTGACAATTCACATTCTCGTGTGGCAAACAGACTGTAATACAAAAGCAGATTGAGATTTACTGAAGTTGGTGATTGCTTGAAAGCTGTCATGGGTTTGAGTTCCTTCAACTAAACATGACAGGTCCTAGCAAGAAGATGCTTGTAAGTGATGAGGTGTTTTATGAACTGTTACAAGCGAGTGAATATAGTAGTGAGAGCAAAATAAATTTAAACATTTTGTCAGGTGGTGAACAAAATGTCAGCTCTGGGGTAAATGCTAAGGTCCAGTGCTTATGAAGGCATATGGGGGTAGTGGATATATAGAACCGCACTTTCATGACCTCTGCACTAACTGTAGGTGGGTGGTCAGGATATCGTATGCCACATTATCAGGCGACAGAGTGGATACTCGTATTTGTGGGTTGGTCTTCACGGAGTCGGTCGAGCGGCGAACGTTGTCCATCATTTTGGTGAGATGAACTGCTGGAAGATGCTTAATTCAAGAGAGTTTATTACACAGTAAATATGTACAACTGTAACAACAGCAAGTCTGTTTAAGGCTTTAGCAGTGGCTGACTCCTAACTGACAGAGTACCGTCCTATAGACTAAACTTCGTAATCAGATTAGAGAGCGTTCTGGACGGTTTAGGTCAGGGTTCTTATAGCCCTGTCTGTGGGGTGGGGGTTGTGTGAAAGCTTCCTTGGAAGGTACAAAAGTTCATCATATAGGAATGTTCTAGAACATTCTATTCTTATATCATATGGTGGGTCTTCCTGGACATTGGCTTGTTTTCTCGGGCTTTAACTGATGTTTTCCAGTTTCTCTGTGAAGCAACTTGACTATTCTTATTTGCTTTTCTTAGTTCAAAATAAGTCTTGTTTGCCCTCTGGCAGATAACATCGGTGAAAGTCAAGTTACAGTATGTGACAAGCCAGTGCTGTTACATTTCATAATTTCCAATATATTACATTCGGATTCGATAAAATATTACTTATAAACTGTACCCATTGTAATTATTCTATCCACCATATACCTGTTACATTGATAATATCTAATGCATCACACTGTCATATACAACACCTCCCCCCTTTTGACAAGGATCAATTTACACCTAAACTGGGCCTAAAAATATGATTTCGTTGTTCGGGGTCTGAAGGACCATCGCGGTGTGTTTTCTTCCCCTGAAGCTTGTAATGGGATTTCTTCCTGTGCTACAGATAAGCTTTCGTTGCTAGTTTTGATATTGATGTTTACTGTGTTTCTGCTACCACTTGTTCCTGCACGAGCCTGAACATCCGCTAGCGCCTTGAGGCTTCTTAAAGGTGTAACATGTACTCTTAAATATCTATATAATTTATATACTGCATAAAGGGCAATTAAACTTAATAAAATATATACTATAGCAGAGTAGGTGGGGTGTTTCAGTACTTGATGATTTTTCCACTCCTGATCCTCAATTTCCTTCTCAAATTTCGATATTTTATAACTTGCGTGCTTCAGATCATCTAGGTGTGATGCGACCTGCTTAAAATCAATATTCACAAGTTTGCTGCTTGTATTAAAATGAAATTTAAGTTCTTCTGAACAGTCAAAATCAAGTGGTGCCTGCGAAATTATATCATCCCGTCTGATGTCTTTGGCCTTGATTGATACACTAGTTTGCAACAGTGTGACAGAACTGTAACCTTTACAACCAGCATTTAACCCAAACTTTCCTACACCTTAGAGTGTAATGTCTACAGGTTCTTTATCATTACATCACACTGTTACACCTTCAGAGGTAGGTGTGAAATATAACCATTCGTTGTTATAAAGTTGTGTCCAAATCGTATTTCTAAGCTGTACCACTCTGGTATCGCAACTTTTATGAATTTCCTTTCTAGGTTGCAGTAATTTGACTGTACAAGATACTTGTGAATGGCTTGATAACAACAGCTGTCTTTGTTTACATATTTTCGTTTGAGAGTCTACTGCTTTACAGTCCTTTAATTCTTCATCACTACTTTTGAAATAATATTGTCTGGTTTGATCTATACATAGGTACAATTCCTGTGTGTTTATGTATGCAAATTTCTTATTTCCTAAAGGTATGGGTATGGGTATCATTCTGTAAATCTCAAATCATCATCATCATCATCATCATCAACATCAGTAATCTGTCAAGACGACAGGTCCACAGTCTCTTCCAAAACAATTCCTCCATTTAATGCGATCTAGAGCTTTCTCCTTCAAATGACAGTATCCTCTTCTGTCCCCAAGGTCATCCAGCATCTTCTTACGTCTTCTTCCTCATCTTCTTGTCACTTCTATCCGCCCCTCTATCTTTCCTTCGGTAACTTCTTTTAGAAGGCAGTTTCTGCGTAAAACATGACCAATCCAATTAGCCTTCCGTTTTCTTATTTCGTGTAGGATATTCCTCTGCTCACTGACTCTAATTAACACTTCTTCATTCCTCACATAATCGGTCCAACTGATCTTCTCCATCCTTCTCCAACACCACATTTCGAAACTTTCCAGATGTTTCTGATCTACTGCCCTAAGTGTCCATGTTTCAGCCCCATACAGAGCTATGCTCCAAATGTAGCATTTCACTAGTTTCTTCCTCAAATTTAAGTCCAATTTGCTGGTAAAAAGATTCTTCTTCTTGCTAAATGCAGCTTTTGCCATGGCAATCCTGGATTTAATTTCACAAGTACACCTTCCATCATCTGTTAACAAGCTACCCAAATATTTAAAACATTTCACATTCTCCACTTGTTTTTGGTCTATCTTTATTGTGACTGGGGTTGGTTGTCTCGAAATTTTCATTACTTTTGTTTTCTCCACATTCATTTCCATGCCATAGCACCTTCCAATTTCAATTAGTCTATCAATCATGCCCTGTAGCACAGTTTCTTCCTTAGCCATTAACACAAGGTCATCTGCATATTTCACAGTTTGAATAATTTGCCCTCCTACTTTGAAGTCACCGAGCCCATCCAGAGCTTCCTTGGTAAGGCATTCGCTGTACAAGTTGAACAGAATTGGTGATAAACAGCATCCTTGTCGAACTCCTCTTCCAATCTGCACACTTCCTGTCTCCCCCCTGTCCAGTCGTACTCTAACTTTCTGATCCATGTACAATTTGCTAATCAATCTTCTTTCATGCCAATCGATACCTGTTTCTTTCAGGATCTGCATTAATTTGGTCCAGTTTACCCGGTCAAATGCCTTCTGCCAGTCTATGAAGCAAACACACAGTTCTTCATCTATCTCCAAAGTTCGTTCCGCTATAATTCTCATCATCCCAATTGCATCCCTGGTTCCTTTTCCTCTTCTAAATCCAAACTGATCTTCTCCAAGTACATCCTCTATTTTCCTTTCAATTCTTCTTTTAAGTATCTTTGCTATTATCTTTGCTGTATGTGCAATAAGACTTATTGTGCGATGGTCGCTGCATTTTGTAGCTTTTGTCTTTTTCTTTAAGGCAATCATTGTAACTTCTGTAAAGTCCTTGGGCCACTCTCCACTTTCATATATGGTGTTCATTAGTTTTGTCAGTGTTTTCAAACCACCTTCTCCCAGTAACTTGAGCACATCTCCAGGTACATCATCATCTCCTGTAGCCTTTCCCTTCCTCATTTCCTTGATAGCTTTTTCCACCTCACTTTGTAAAATATATGGTCCTTTCTCGTCTGTATCTACTTCTTCTTCCGGTTCAACTTCTAAGGTTTCTGGCCGATTAGGTCGATCATATAGTTCTGAAATATAATTTTCCCAAATTTTCAGCACTTGCCTCTGATCTACTATTCTATTCCCCTGGGAGTCTTCGATGCCAACATTTTGAATCCCATGATTCTCTTTCCATCCTAGTTCTTTTGTCTTCATGTACATCAAATCATAACGGCCTGTTCTTTGAAATTCCATAATCTCATTACATATCTTCTCAAGATATTCCTTTTTGGCCCTGTCCGTGGCTCTTTTCAATTCATTCCTCAGTCTCCTGTATTTCCTCCTGCCTTCTTCATTGTTGACATTCTTCCATTTCCTTCGCTCCTCCATTTTACTCATCATCTCCTGTGTAACCCATGGTTTTCTTGCTATCTTCTCAACTTTACCTACCAAATCACTGATAGTATCTAACATGCATTCTTTTATATCGTTCCACTGCGCTTCAGCATTTCCGCTTTCACCTTCAATTGCACCGAGTTTCTCTTCTAGAGTCTCTTGCACGCTTTGTCTTTGAGCATATAACTTCTCCAAATCCCATCTGGGTCTGCGCTTTCGAAATCCTATAATTTTCTTCAACCTGGTTCGGAACTTGGCAACCAGCAAGTTGTGGTCAGAGTCAATGTCTGCCCCAGGAAGCGTCTTCACATCCTTCACACTGTTTCTGAATCGATGTTTCACAAGGATGTAGTCCAGCTGATGCCTCTTCCAATCCCCAGGTGCCTTCCATGTGTAAATTCTTCTCTTTGGCTTCTTGAACCAAGTGTTGGTAACAATCAATCCATTTCGTTCACAAAAGTCAATAAGCATTTGACCTCTGTGATTCCGTCTTCCTAGTCCATGTGATCCAACAATATTCTGATATGGTTCATCTCCAACAATGCTGTTCCAGTCTCCCAATATGATGCTGTTTGTGTCTCCTCTTCCATCTTCCTGAAGAATTTCTTCAATTGTGTCAT